GAGCCCCTCTCGAATTACTTGGTAAAGAAGGATCGTTACGCCGAACCTAGCTCAGAAGTTAAATCTCAAAGGCTGAAGGATACGCTGAAGGGAGTGACATGCACCTGAAAATCGAATGGAACCACCTCACAAGCCCCCGTATACTGTATCAGGAATGCTACTACTTCCTTGTAGTAACGTGATACAATAGCCTCGCTGGTACCAAAGTCATGATATAGCATCCGCGATCTCAAATGTCCGATTTGAAACCCGTTCTTATCCAGTGAGAAGATATCCTCGTGCCCCCGAATGTCTGAAACAGCAACAGTTTTCCTAGTGTAAGAGACGTTCGTCTGTTTGATATTTGGTGCCCATGTAGGGTCAATTGGAATGTTCATGAAGTATGGCTTTTCAACTTCATATTGTCGAGTAGGCTTCATGTAGAATATACTAGCTTCATAGATTGGGGGGTCAAAGTGATCCAACTCCCACTCTCGGCTAAGGTCAGTAAACATGTAAAGCTGCTGGTCTTGGCCGGGATTCCTCGTTTCTGATCTTGCCGTCTTGGCTGATTGTGTCTGAGCCAGGCTTCCTGCCATGATTTAGATATCGCAACTGCGGAACAAGGTTAGTGAGCCAGTCAAAACCTCGAAAGTGGAGAGATGTAAATATTTGTCCGTCAAGAGACACTTCAATGAGCTTTTTAGAGGCATGTCAAGAAGTTTTATTAAGCATATGGGAGAATCACCCAAGAAATCCCGAGCTCCCGTGGTAGACTTGAGTAGTACTTATTGCGTCGTACTTCAATGTACATAAACGCAGAAAATCTAGAATTATAACATGTTTCACAGCAGAAAGCCCAGCTGACACGTCAACCTTGTCGTTCCAATGAGAGACATTCCTGCCGCTCACCGGTTTCGGGAAGTCCAGACAGCCAAATACTCGATGCATCAACGGCCACCAATGATGTCCCATAGAATATGCAGTCACACCCTGTGTCCCCCGAAAGTGCACATTTCCTTCCGCCTGATCACCAGCCATGCTGTATTATCCTGCTTTGCAGTTTCATGTCTGTCTGTCAATCAATCACGACTGACAGTCACATCAGGGCTGTACGCCATCAGGTCAGTAAGCTATCAGGCTTGTACAACATCAGGCGCGCTCTCCCTTGAGTCACATGTTTCAAGTGTCTCAACCTAAACATCAATATAGGATATCCCGGGACATCCTGCATAGCTCATTGGTTTGACCACATTGGTGAATCCAATGCATGCAGGTGACGACCAAGACTAGGGGAACGGCCCTTAAACACATATCTCCTACAGTCCGCTTCTTTCCCAATACCTACCGTGCGAGGGCATCATACTAAGTATTGTATTTTTGAGTCGCTATCGCAACGATCTGATCCTTGTTTTTACCTTAAAACCCCAACTCATCTTCTCCCCTACTGTCGAGCCTTGGCGTTCAACCTCCGTTAGCTCAAACATCGCACAAGTACATCGTTTTCTATCGAGAGAAACCTTATATGATCATCACGAAACTGTTCAGCTCACAACGTCACTATGCGTTACTCCAACCATTGCTTGTTCGCTGTCACTCTTTGCATGCAGATCATGGCACAAAAATTAGTTTCAGTAGTTGTTCGTCTCGGCGATGTAGCTTATTATATGCATTCACCTCCAGTTGTAGGATAGAGAATTTCCGGAATTCGATTTCAAACCTTTATCAATGTACTGATGCACATATTAGGCTTCTGAAACATTCGGAGTGGGGCAAGTTGCGGAACCTTGCACTGTTTTAACTTTGACTTGCGAGGAAATCGAAGAACATGAACTAGCGCGTGTCTTCGCTGATTTCAACATACAAGACGATGTATGGTCGTCGGAGTTTCTGTCTTCCCTGATCATTCAAACAACACATCAATGCAGCCTGTCCCAAGATGTTCGAGCTTTCCTCCAAGATCATGGCGTTGGCAACTTGTTTTTTGTTCAGTCAACTACAACAGCTCATGAAATAGCTCAAGGTCCTTATTTCTTGAACAGTGGACGACTTCACCAGGCTTACCGACTGTATCCTGACACGGCTGGTGCGTTTGTTGTTGCAACAGTACCTAATGATTCTTCCAGCGCGTGAGTCATTGCTTAAAAGGCTATATAGATTGTGTCTTACAACTCATAGCTTCCGATCACTTGATGCCGCTGCTTATGGTGAAGAATATCCCGCAGCACTAACAATTGCTGTTCCGTCTCGTCTATCACAAATTAAGACAGAAATTAAACCGTTTGCAGGACTACGAATAGCTATCAAGGATACCATAGATTTAAAGGGACTGAAAACAGGCGCTTCCTCTCGAGAGTACACTGCATTCTACCCAGTTCGATCTGAGAGTGCAAAGGTAGTACAACGACTGGTTGATCTTGGATTCGTTATTGTAGGAAAAGTTAAGACGACTCAATTTGCGGACTCTGAATGGTCAACATGTGATTGGATCGATTATCTCGCTCCCTTCAACCCACGTGGAGATGGATACCTAACAACAAGTGGTAGTAGTGCCGGAAGTGCAGCTGCCATTGCCTCGTATAACTGGCTAGACTTTACTTTGGCGACAGACAGTGCGTATTTCATCTCGCCCTTGACTTTCACTGACTTTCTTCTTAGCTCTAGGAAGTATTCGTGCACCTGCCGCAGCCCAAGGGATCTTCGGAATGCGGCCGTCCCTAGGCGCAGCGAGCTTTCAAGGAATTGTTCCGTATAGCCCGTAAGATTTCCAGCATACTCTTCACGGAATCAACACTGATAAGATACCAGACTCTTTGACACAATTGGTGGTTTCGCTCGAACAGCAGAGGACTTTCGAATTTTGGCACACGCACTCTATGGAACGTCAAAGCATACTGTGACCTCCAGCAAAGTGAGCAGTTGCATCTCCAAATATTGAGGTTCCATGAAAGAAGAGGCTTCCCTCTCTCAACGAAACAACGCTGACGTTGAGTTATCTAGAGACCAACCAAGCTTCTTTATCCAAGCGATTACTGGCCTGTGCCACACGCTCAAAGTCAAAGTGTGTTCGATGCCTTCATTCGACGCCTAGAAGATTTTCTGGGTATCAAGCGGACTTTGATTAACTTTGAAGATCTGTGGAGTCAAACACGCCCTGATGACATAAATTCAACTTTGAACGATTTTGTGGAACATGTTTTCGAATGGGCTGCAAATCCGGACCAATGGAATGGGTTTTTCAGGGGTTTCGTGGAAGAATTTGACTCAAAGATGGGTAAACCACCCGTTCTGAATCCACAGCTTCGTTTCAAACGGTTCGTGGACATCTCACAATTTTGAGTGATGAAATTGTTAATATGATTATTATATAGCGAATTCCTTCCAACGATCACAGCAGATGAACAGGCGGAAGGTCGTCGGAGACTAAGGGTCTATCAAGAATGGTTCTACAAGAACGTCATCCCTGCGTCCCAAGATGGGTATTCTGACAGTCTGATTGTGCTTCCCTGGACGACTGGTGAGCCCGATTACCGTGATAGATACAGAACTGGGCCCCAAGAGTTTACTGGGCTTGGATTCTTTTTCTATAACCTCGGCACATATGCTGAAGCACCAGAACTCATCATTCCAGGTAAAGGCTTTTCCTTTCTCCCTTGAACTTTGCATAAATTCCATGTAATCTTATTTCATATTCTACCCAGTCTTCCCTCTCGTCTCCTTGCCAATACTAGAGATCCATATTACTTATGCTACACAGTGACTCCTACGACATACACATCGAAGTTCACTGGTAAAATAGAACAGCTTCCCGCCGCCGTGGGCTTAATAGGCGCCAAAGGAAGCGATATGATGCTGGCGGAACTTATCGATGCCGTGCTAGCTGAAGATATAAGGTATGATATGAACCACCATGAAGAGCAACGTCCACTGTGACAGCAAAGTAGGTTAGTTTTGATATTGTACAGCATTAAAAGCTCCCTCCCAAACTATGTTAATTGAAAGTTTTAACGACTGTTCTACAGGTCGCGGGGAACGGAGAGTCTTGGAGTCCGAAGTGAGTTTCATCAAATATGTACATTGACCGTGTAAGATGGCTATTTAGTGAGATCGAAGCTTCTCCGTATGTGCGTTTTCCAGTGTTGCGGAAGTCGCAAATACAGAAGGAGTTCATTAAAGATTATATAATAATCAGTAAGCATTAGGCTCGCGGAGGGTAGGATGAGATGGAATTACGAGCTAGTCCTTAGTAGCCTCCTAAATCAGGGCGTTAAGTGAGTTTTTAGGCCATGTCTACAGAGATAGCCGTGCTATGTTATTCATGGACGTTCCTTGGACAGCCTTGCCGATAAAAGGCCCAATTGCCACCCCATAGGATTTGAGTTACTAATGATGTCAAGCAAAATAGTGGAAACTAGTAAGTCCTTTGAAAGTTTTAAGGTCTTAGAACCTCTAGTAGACAGCACCATCCATCTCTGATCGTTTTTAATATATATACTCAGCAATTATATCTTGTCATTTACTTACGATAAATCATATTCTAGGACCCTCTGAGAAATACTGGCACACAGGTAGCTTTGTCTATACTGACCGTGCAATAGTGGCGAGATGATTATCTTACAAGTATGTTCAATTATTAACTAGCCTATTGCGACTTAAAAAGTATGGAAAAGTTATCCGAGGAATAGAGACCAGATGACAAGTGACGAGAAGATCACTGGGATGCAAGTGTGAGACATGGCATCACAAACTATCAAATATAAACTCATGTCCAGTCCTTTCTTACACTGCCAGAACACAGATAGTCAGTCACGGTTTCCATTAGTGTCACTCGGATCTTAGATAAATATATTATGATCATGGCAATGTAAATTTCCACTGCAAGTACAATCACGAATCTCCTGGCTTTTGCGCGTAGACTACGTAGCTAGGAGCATAATGTCAGTTGGATTGACACATCAAACAGTGTTGCTATTGCTGGCCTATATGGCCAAGAGACATTTGGTGTTTGTTGGGATGACTTACTAGGGCCAATACCCGTGCATCTGCGGGTTCTTCACCTCTTTCCTCAGATAGGCCAGAAATACCGCAACTTCGGCATCGGACCAGCCGAGGCCTTTCTGGAACATCCTATTGACCATAGCCTCCAGGCCGCTGAGAAGATTTTCCATCTCCCAGGCACCTAGAAGCTTCATGCGCGGATCTTTGGGCCACGGGTTGAATGGTAACTTGAAGACCTTCTGCGTCACGTTCTGATAACCTCGCTCCTCGAACCAACTCTTCCACTTCATCGGGTCGGTGAGGCTCGCACCGAATTTCGAGGATGCCGATTCCATCATGTCGGAGAATCTTCGCAGGTAGCTTCCTTCGGGAATTGAATCATCGTCGCATCCAAGGAGGCCGACGATTGCCTGGAATTCTACCCAGCCGCCTGGTTTTAGATGACTAAAGAGTAACGGTGTCAGCGGTCTCGAGGCAAGGAGGTTCGCTTCAGAAGCAAGACGCACGTATAGGTCTGATCAATGAGCGCCGGCCAATCTCGAATGGCAAGTAATAGATCTCGTGAATAGATAAAATCAAAACTGCTCTCTTTCCATGTCCAATCCCGCTCAACGTCGTCAAGTTCAAAGTAGCAATTCGGCGGTACCCTGCGGTTCTGATACTCAGCTATGGTGCTTATAGAGTGTCACGAGATGGTGCATGTTGGTTTGCTCTTACCACTCAGGTTGTGTTGGTGCAACATCGGTGCCAATAACCTAGATAGTCTGCGTTAGCATCAATAGACATGTATATCTCCTATTTCAATGCAACCGAAATATGTGTATTCCTCTACCGCAAATGTCGAGGTTCAATGAAGAAGACCACTCACTTCAGCGGCGGGAAAGTCCTCTGCCATTTCAATGCACCATATTCCTAGACACATTATTAGCATGACTCTCGAAAGAAATACTGGAAGCTATTTCACAGTTGCCATTTGAATTAGAGCCAATAAAAGGAGCGACGAACCAGTTCCACATCCAAGATCTAGGATCCTCTGGGGATTCAAAATGGGCGCCAAGTAGCGCTTCTTGCCAATTAATGCACAGTATTTTGCGTGGCACATGTCGATGCGATCAAGCTCGGCCGAGTCCATGGGAAGGCCATATTCTAGCATGATTCAAGCAGTATCAGTACAGATCGTGCGCATGATTATGCCCCGACGTCTCAAGCGTGTATCTCAGAATTGCATTGCGGGGCTGTCTTCTCTGACCTTCTTTGCCGTACACGGCGTATGTCCTCCCTCCCTCAACTTTGCCCCGCAAAATCGACGATGTCAAAGACGTTAGCGACGATCTATCGCTTTGGTCATCGAAGGCCTATGTTTAGTATAGACATTGATTAGCGGACGGCATATTCAGCAGGCTAGCTTTTCATCGGCGGTGAGTTGAAAGTATGGGTGATCGTGTTTTTGAGCAATGCTGAGGATGCAACACTGGTACAAGACAACTGCGCTGGTGACGCCTGGTCCAACTCCGCGTCGATATCTAGTTTTCGCTCTGATAGGCAATTGTGGGCTAGGCTGGAGTAAGATTGATTGTGAAGTGCAGGGGCTCACAAACCTCATCATCGACACTTTGCTGGTCCTATAAGGTCATTCGGTCAGTCCATTTGAACCATCTTTCAAGATTCGGTAGGGCTACGGCAATCCGGCGTAGTCACCGCGTAAAGCAAAGGCCCAGCTGCCAGGTGTGCTAAGCTGAGTGAGGGCTGGCGGGTACATACACTATCAGGCTGAATGAATGGATCCTCATCCTGCTCCTGGCTGGTAGTGGGGACAGAAGAAGACATGATCGACTGCTGGCTCTGGTAAAGTTGGTCGCCTTCGTGCTGCTTTTTTCCCGCGCGCACAGAAATGACAAGCGTGCTATGTAATGGGCCCAAGCCACTATGTTAAGGTGATATAGCAGGAAACGGACTTCTCAGCTGCTGCCGGTGCGCGCATAACATGTTCTCTTGGCGATTGCTGAAGCGTTAAAGTCGGTGTTCAGCGCCTGAATGGAAACTAATCGCCGTAATTGACAAGGGTAGGGCAGGTCACGTTAGGTCAGTCAAGTAAGGAATTGATGGAGGTGGGAGAGAAAACGGAGGACAAAGACTAAATATCTGAAGTGTCCTTGCAGATCAATTAACTAAGCTACCACTTCGTAATCCAACCGAGCGAGCAAAAACGGCCAAAGACTGCCACCGTCGGGACCTCTTCATTGCTTGCTTGAAGCCGCCGTCATTGTACATACAGTACTGGGTAACCCAACCCCTCTGATTCTGGCTCTACGTGCATGCGGGTTTTCTCTGCCTCCGCACACACAAAATACCTCTGCGTCAGCTCCGCGAAACTCCGGCCAGTGTTGGGATTCTCTGGGACAGACGGATGGGTTCAGTCTTCACTACGTAACCACCGAACGGGCTCTAACTCAGAGCTTCCTAGTCCTAGAACCACCCGGATCAAGAGCCCCGGCTGGGCATGGCACACCTCATCGTCACAGTGTGGACTGACCTTCCCTGCGGCCATATCCCCCGTTCTGCACTATTTCATAGCAGACTAGCTACCTTTGGTAGGCTCGCAACGGCCCGTTGGCGGCTTGGTCGACAGTTAAGGAAGCTAAACAAGCCGGCTACCCACCGCGCTATTCATCACCCTGCGAACTAGATTTTTCACCATGAGCCATAACATAGCTTCTACACTTCAGAGGTTAGTTTTAAAATAGATAGCTGATTCCATGTTTTCTCCTCTAGATAGCAATTCTCATGATTATCCAGCGCAGGCTCAAGTAATTTCCCAGCTGGTCAGTTCTCCAGCAGATCTCGGGGTGGGTATGCTGCAGATTGGTGGCGTTCCTCTGTTGTAACCATTGGCCTCAAATAGCCTGGCGGAGGTGCTGTCAAGTAATCCGATACGTTACCGACGAGGGCTTTCGTACATGGGATGGGGGTCATTTGTGATATGACATTCCGCCAGCCCGCCTGCCCTCTCACTATGGTTTCCCTCATTCTTCTCACCGATTTCTACTCCGAGTGAAGTAGCTCATACAAAGACCGGGTGCGAATCTCCTTCTCGACTGACGCGGCTGATTCCATTTACCTATTCACCGTTTCACAATCCGCGCCGCACCCCGAAACGCTCCAACGGATTTGGAGCACACCTAGCATCGGGGAGGGGTCACCAAATCGAATTGTCCTCCGCAGCCAACGCACAAATCATATGTCTGCCACATGATGGCTATCGGACTACGAAACGCATGCCTTAGTCTGAATTCCCATCGCCAATCACTTGCCATTGGGTTGCATAATTGGTTTGACTAGCAAAATTCATCATAATTCCTTCCTACAATGGACCCCTGACAATCTGGTCTTTTATTCTCTTGTCCTGGTGGCCATCACAAAGCAATCCGCCCCCTGTCGGTAGGTTACGTACCTTATCAATTGGCCACCATCATGTTTCTTTCTGGACAGTATCCCCGCCTTTCACCCCTCTCTGAGAGGGGCTAGAGGCAGCTGGGCATGTAGTGTAGATGTCAGGTAGGTGAAATGCGGCTACATCGCAAAAGCAACGCGTCTCCCGCCGCCAATCTCGCTCCCTCGGTGTTTACTTGTGCGTACGAACCATTGTTACCAGACTACCGGGTCGTCATTGCTTCCTCCTAATCCCGCCCAACACACATGATATAGTGCAACAGCTCAAGGCGCTCTGCTTCCATTTATTCAATTGAGTAAAGGACGATACCAGAGGACCATTGCTTGACAAACGGTTAGATTCAAGCCTCCGCCGCAATGGTTCATCCCAAAGTTAGCAAGGCTCTCGAGGAGGCCAAAAAGCTTGTGGCCAGCCTCGAGGCCTACGAGGACAATCCCATTAGCCATCTGGCAGTCATGAAGCAGAATGAGAAAGTGCGCACCGCTCTACAAGAGCCAATTGACTTGATCACACGCCTTTTCGAAGACCTAAGCCTGGGAGGCGCTTTCCACACCATCCTGGGGATCCGCGCCTATCATGCGATGCCCGAGGACGGCAGCCCCATCACCGCCGATGAGCTCGCCCGGATCACCAACGTCGCCAGCACTGTTATTCATCGCACGTACCGAGTCGCCGTCAATCACGGCGTCTTCGTTGAGACCGCCCCGGACACTTATGCTCACAATGATCTCTCGCGCGCCCTCAACCCCAATGGCCTTGGCTCATTTTTCATGATCACATTAGAGTTCACCCGCGCCTGGATCCACCTGCCCGAATATCTTAAGTCGCACCAGCCGGACGATGTTTTCGATTTAGTCAAGTCCCCCGCCGTGTACTCAGTTGGTAAAGAGCATCTGGGCAAGTCCTACTACGAGCTACTTGAAATTGACCCGGATCCGGAGCGTCGCGAAGTATGGAATACCAACATGTTCATGGTCGACCAATTGATGCCCGTCGTTGGCATGTTTCCATTTGCATCCCTTAAGGAGGCGGTTGAGAAGGAGCCCGAGCGCCCGTTCCTCGTTGACATCGGCGCGGGCCGCGGTCAGTCTTGCTTCGCCATACGGAATGACATCAATGGCGCGTTTGACGGCAAGTACATCCTGCAGGACCTCCCTGGTGTCATCGACAATCTGAAGCCCAGCGATTATCCCGGCTTCGATCTCATGACTTATGATGCTTTCACGCCCCAGCCCGTTAAGAGTAAGTGCCTCATTACTATTCTCTCATGCGTTCATCAACACACACTGGCTTAATATGATGAACCCCTCGCTAAATAAATCCGTGCCTCTTCCAGATGCCCATATCTATTTCATGCGCCGCTTTCTGCACGACTTTTATGCCCCGGTCTGCACCGAATTCGTTAAGAACACTGCATCGGCTATGGGTCCCGATTCACGCCTTCTCATCTGCGACATGTTGGTCCCAGACTTGGTCGAACCCTACGAGAACATGGATCTGTACTGGCTCGACTTCGCCCTGCTCTGTATGACCGGCCAGGAGAAGAAGAAGGCCACTTTCGAAGAGATATTTGAAGCTGCCGGCTTAGAGCTCGTTAAGATCTACCCTTCAGCTTATGGACGAACGGTGATGCTCGAAGCTAAGCTGAAAAAGTAGTCAATTACCAGCAAAACGAATGGCTGCAAAGAGTCGAGATTTTGGAGATGGCAAGATGGAAGACATTTGCGCCAAAGCAGTACTCTCCTGGATTGTTCCTTTTTACCGTAGTGCGTTGAAACGCCCAACTTGACATATCAGCGTTGTGATATCTTGTGGTATTGTCCCGACCGAACGGTTTTCTTTGCGAGCCTAATGTCCATAAACAAACGGGCCATCAACCTCCCCGGTAATTCATAGACTGGTCCTAATTGAAGATCTATACGGAACACTTAGTCTTGTCTGTCTTCGACTCTCATGTCTCACACATCATGTTAAGATACCGAGGAAATCAGCTGAACACCGCTCCGTAGCTGCCGATCCAAGTGGATCTAGTACCTGCATGTTTCATTTATTTTGCAAATCTCTTTACGCCTCACTGCATGCCGTCATCAGCACAACAGTCTGACACCAGCGAGGTATGCTCAAAGAGGTGATGATTGACAGATGTTTCTCCCTATAGCAAGCTGAACCACCACACAAGAATGGATTGGCTGGAGCAATCGCCAACCACGGGAACAAGTCGCAATTGCCCCCATTCCTTCCCAAAAAGAAATATAATAAGCAATCTAGACATGTATATAACAGATGCCTATGTTGTAGGTCCTGAATCCCTTTTCAAGTTGTGTCAGGCGTCATAAGCTTTTACTGTCAGTTACGATCTCAACTGCACCTCCTCAATCTCGATCCTCTAAACAAATCAACGTTCAGCGCACATAAACAAAAGTTGGTTACACACTTTCCGTTAGCTGCTCATTTTACTATACTAACTAGTGCAACCAGATGTCTACTGCACCTGGCATGGTTATTCGAGCCAGTCCCGATAGGCTGATGCAAGTCTTTATCATAGATGACATCCAATATACGTTTGCAGCGATTATCAGTCCACCTATCCCACCGCTACAAGTCGTAGAGGCCCAACTCAGTTACGAGTCTCCCGATGATCTGACGTCTACTCGGAGCTACCAAGGCACCATCGAAGATGGTCAGCTAAAGCTCCAGTTTGACAATGGTCCGACTATCACCGCAACTGTTGAGTCTCCCATCGATGTTGGCCAGGTTGAAGGACAAGGCGTGTGGGAACAAAACTAAAGGGCAGAGCTAGAACTATAGGGATTGACTTGCTCAACAACTCAAACACTTATGCAGCCTTGATAGTCCAGACACGCTAGTACGGTATTTGTATCACAGCGAGCAAAGATTCTAATTTGTTGGATACAAACCAAACTTCCTCATTAATAGAGCAGATGCTTACAACATCGAGTTTCGAGGTATTATATGCTCTAAGCTAATCTTGTTGATGTGTCACTGGCTTGTATTCTTCGAGGTTAGTGAGCGGGTGCGCTCCACCAAAAGAAGGGCCACGGCGAGCATGCCACCAACATAGTCTCCATAGCTCGGTTGCCGGTGTTCCGAAAGTGCTCCGATGGTGGGAAGCATTTGAGGATTATTGATGGGTGATCTGCGAGATGGCTGCATGACATGGGCCAATTAAACACAAGAGGGCACCAGAACAGACCAATTTTGCAAATATCGGCCGTCGATAGGGAATAAACTCTTATTTTTCTTCACTATGGCTCTTTCATTTCTTCGGATCCTTCTGGCAGAACTCCAGGAACAACAATCGAAATGCATTACCGACACAAAAATACGCGAAAGGCCAGAGGCAGGTTATGGATGGCTGAACAGAGCCAAGACAGGCTGGAAAAGTCGGAGCAGCAAGGTTTCGGCATGTCGAATAAGCACAATTTGTCATGGAATCAAGTCGAACCCTGGCAACAGGATAATCCTTTCATCACCTCCGGATACAGAGCCGCGACCAACTCATATCTGCGATCACTACAAAGCCTCAGATATTTGCATAACCAAACAGTGAACATATGGTCTCACCTTGCTGGGGCGATTGTTTACGCGATCAGTGCGATTGTACTGTATTGGACTCACAGCGACTCGCTGGCTAAGGCATCTGCATTCGATCTTATGCTTATTGGACAGTTTTATCTAACAATCATCCTTTGCTTGATGTTTTCATCCGCATTTCACACGTTCGGCAATCACTCAGATGACATTTACCATTCATTTCTCCTCTGCGATCTCGTGGGGATCATTCTCCTTACCATAGCGAGCTTCTTTCCTGGAGTGTACTATGGCTTCTATTGCGAATCAAGAACAACCGTATTCTACTGGCTGATGGTAAGGATTTCAGGGTCGCCAATGAAACGGAACTAAGTAGCAGTTTGACAGATCACAATTTTTGGTGCAGCGTCACTGATGTTCTGTTTAAGTCCGGCCCTACGTGACAAGTCATGGAGGCCGTATCGGACAATGATGTTAATGGGAATGGGTCTATCGGGTGTACTGCCAATGACCCATGCTGCTCTGCAGTTTGGAATTCCTCAAGCTCGGTTGCAGATGGGCTGGGATTGGTACGTGGCAGAAGGCTTCAGTTACGTTTCTGGTGCAGTGATATATGCGGTGAGTGTGCAGGTTTGAAATGTGACCTATTGCATGTTGACATGTTGTAGACAAAGGTTCCAGAGCGCTGGTATCCAGGAACATTTGACATCTGGGGTAGTTCTCATCAGATATTCCATGTCTGTGTCTTGGTCGGTGCAGCTTGCCATCTCACGGGTGTGTTAAATGCATTCATGTATAATCATGACTCCGCTACAAAAAGATGTTAAATCGAGAGAATAAACAACTTCTTCATCAATTTCCACCAAGCCTGACAAGCATTTGCTCCAACACCTGGACATTTTCAAAGGTGACCACATACTCGATATACTGAGAGATCTACGTCCCATCCTGTGTGAACTCCAGGTCGTAGATAATCTTATGAGGGTCATTAGCTCCAAGGGGCTTCAATATTAAATCAGGTCAGAATATTACTTTCACAGAGTTTTTAGACACATCGGCTGTGTGTACAGTCTTCTCGATCCATACGTTGGCCACGCGCTGTCGTGCATCCATTACAGTCCGGGTGACGTTTTGCGCCATGTCTGACATGATTTACAATTTCAATTGCATCTGAGCTTCATACTCCGTGTTCGTGATCTGGGGTTCGAAGAATTGCGGGTATTTGTTGACAAAGGACAGCAGCCGGTACATCTCTCTTCCATCCTCGGAAACGAGACATCCTTTTCCTTGAGTGCAGCTACGTTAGTCGCGATGAAGGCTGTGATAGTCCCTTCTAAAACTGGCCGGAGCTCATCCATCGTTGCGAAATGTGTTTGATGAAGCGTCAAATCAATGTGTGGTGTATTGTTAGAGAACAGCATCTGAAGGTTCAGAGTGGTCAATAATTGCTGAAGGGATTTATCGAATGGTTGGTAAGACAAGAAACTCATGCATCTAGATATCAAGTTTGTAGTTTACTAAAGCTTTATAGATTAGGATCGAGGTTTTGAATCACTATACTGCTAGAAGTTCGAGTTTTATAGAATTTTTAACAAATATAAGAAGCTTGTTATGTCTAGTAGTAAAAGTAGTTTAAATAATTTATAATAGAATATGACTAGAGCTTATAAGGACAGATTTTCTACTAATGTAAAAAACAAAATAATAGCCTAACAAAAGCATATAACATCTCTAGCTATAGTTTCTACAAATAATCGACTTCGCTACTTTCAAGATAAAAAATCTCAGTCTAGCTTGCATACTAAGTTAGCCATGTGTAGGTTTATGGCTACCCTTTTCAGCTTGGCTGAAGTTCTCGCTACTGGTTTGACTCTGAGATCCCATCAGCTACACAGCAGACTGAACAAGTAGCACTCTAAGACTACCATTGAACCAGCCTGTGGTAGACTGCGCTCCTTTCCGAGATTATAAGACCCATTTCCACTGCTGCCTGAGCACAAAATTATATCCATGCTCATAGTTTGCCCTTGCGATATTCTTGTTGATACACCATATGGCCTATCTTTTCTTGTGCTACATACATGATACACTGGGTCACGCTCTGGCTTATACCCACATGACTACATAGATAAAGGGCAAGTCCTAAAGCCGCTTGAGTCCGGCGTCGGATTGCTTATACATGGAAGTCTGTCTTGTACTCCACACAGACTCCAAGTCATTCAACATCCTGTGAGTTTCCCCGTACCCCATGCACTGCTGCATGCGACGAAGTGTCTGCCTCACAAGACCAATGTCTTCCTCGCTAGTCACAGCATAGCCGATGATCAATACCGGCCATGAGCCCAAATAGCAACGAGTACATGTCTCAAAAGTACCCGGTCGGCGGAGGATGTCGAGGGCTTGCTGGACCTGCCATCGACTGCACGGTGAGCTGTCTGGTGGCAATGAGACGCTCACGGATGCAAAGGTCAGGACAGCCTCGCCAATGCGTTCCGCGACTATTGAAGAGAAGTCACCCAATGACTCGGCTATCCAATCCAGGAGGAGTGACGCGGCTAGTATCAGTAACCTTATAGCAGCTGGATCAGACGCTCCAGAGACGTCCGCATCGGTCGAAGAGCAATGCAGCCAGAAGTCTTCCCAGTCCTTCAAAGATGCTCTCATCTGAGCCAGTACAGCCAATTGAAGCCGTTCAGGGGACCGAGTATACGACACAATTGCCAGTATGAGGCGGTACAGACGCAAGGGTGCTCCCAAGATGGGACTGTCGTCCGTCGTCCATGTGCCTTCTGAAATGAGCGAAGCCAGTAGTCTTTCTGTATGAATGAGAAGACCTGTATCTATGAAAGACTTTGGTTGAAATGGATATCGCACTGCCAGGAGGAATGCTTGATAGAAGACGCTTTCAATCATGATGCGGTCGAAAGGTCTTATGCTTGAGGCTGTGAATGCGTCAGTGGATCGAAGCTTTAGCAGCTCCATTGCGCCATTCACGTGCTTGAGGGCATCATCAAAGGTATCCAGACCCCACAGCTAGATCGTGTCAGTGCTTTGTCAACGATGAGACTGGTGTGATAATGCTAGAAAAGCCCGCAGCAGTGGGAATAGACAGGGTCGAGCGTAGACATACCCCATTGGTATACAGATACACGACGGCTATCAGCACATCATAAGGAGGCGTGGTTCCAGTTGACTCGAGGCACGATAAAGATTGGTTGACTCTCCTAACTGCTTGGGCGTAGTACTGTAAAGACATATCTCGGTATATCGATCCTTCACCGAGAATGAATTTGCTGGAGGCACTGCAAGCCAAGACCGAGTACCTGACGCTTTCGAACTGGAGCATCATGTTGAGTGTCTGTGATCTACAATCACCATGAAATTCGCCGTTGATGCCTGGAAGAAGTAAAGCCGGCACTAAGTGCCCGATGTAATGTCGGATCAGACCAGCCTCGACCTCTGAGCCTGTGATTGAAATATCCAGTTCCCGGGAAAGCGAGACCTGTGGACTGCTTGTCCAAGAGAATGCGCTAAGTCCTGCAGCGGAGTAAGAACGAAGATCGACATCGACATCTTCATTACTGGCAACAGAAGGAGATTGACCAGGACTGCGGTGTTTACGATAACGTCTGTCTTCCAGGTCGGCTACCTCTGGCCACACGCACTGTCGTTTGGACTTGCCGCACTGACAACATGATGGCCTCTCCTCGCCACATTTAACCCTCCTTCTCCGACCTTGAAAATGTGATGAGTCAGATGAACTGGAGATCCAAGACCATAGAGGGGCCCGCGATAAGATCACGGAGAAAACTCACAGGTCAAACATCCAGTTTTGGCCCGTAATCTCGCCATGAGCAGCAAGAGGGTTTTCAAAGCGTCGCGTATCCCAAACCAGCTCCTACAACCCGTTGGAAGAAGCAGCCATACAGCCAAATGTGGCTGCTAGGCTGTGTAGAAATCCGATTCCCGTCTTCCTTAGATTTCGTAGTGATTGAATGATACGAATATACATACAAAAAGAACGAGAGGTTGATTCCGAGGAGTCGGAATAGTCTCGGGTCACGGGTGGGGCCTCTCGCTGCATTGCTTATCAGCTCCTCCTCTCCACCAATCAAATTACTCTAAGCTAATCGACTCCACAGGTTCCAAGTCACTGGGAGAAATGACGACAGACCCGTTCTTTGATTCTGTGTATCGGAGGAGACTCTCATCTGTATATTTTCTATATAGTCTATACTACGGCTTGATTATACCTACGCAGGTGACAGGCTCCATGTTTAGGATAATTGCGCTTTCGGATTCTTGCCAGCCAGCTATCAGGGCTTAGCTTAGCTTCAATTCTGTACAATCCTGGCTACAAGATCTGCCGCGGCTACTGTTTCCTCGTCACGAAAGTGCTTTCCTACGAGTTGCAGGCCGATCGGAGCACCAATGAAGATGTTAGGTACGTCTATCAAAGCAAGTTTCCAGATGTTAGCATTCTGAGCTTCGTTTTGTAGGACTCGGGGCGTAGCGACGGTTCTTACATTTGTCGTATTCTCTCTGATCCTCCTTGGAAAGTGGTTTGAAGTCTGCATTGACCACATCTACTGCAGGGTCGGCCTTTAATCCTGTCGGAAACGTGATGCTCGGCTGATCAAGCACATTCCACATTGCTGTGTATGCCCAATACTGTGTGGTGCCTACTTCTGCGGCCGCGCCGACGTATGAGGGGCAAAGAATGAAGTCGACGCCACGCTCCTTCATCAGTTTATGGTATCTGGCAAATGTAAGTTCACGGGCTTGGCGGCCAGGATGGGTGTCTTACTCAGCACGGTAAGCTTCACGCTGCGCATTCAGCTTCCAACTTTCGACCAGTGTAAACGGCTCGGCCGGCGCATGCGTCAATGACCATTTCGTCATCGAGTTAATCGGCTCGCCAGCTAACTCGAAAAGCTCTGTGACGCATTTACCAGCGTCGGTGAAGAAAAGTGTCGTGCAGAGCTTGTAGAGGTCTGCCTGCTTGTAAGGCTCGAATTCAACGACCTTGACACCAGCGGCCTTCAGTTTGTCGACAGCATACTTGAGACCGCGGGCCATCGGAGGTTGCGGCTGAACGCATCTGCCTCATGGTGACGAATTAGCCTCATTCAATAAGATATAGTATTTAGGGTTCAGTGTCATGACTCGAATTTTTTACAGGATGTCTTGCGATGACAAATATGGAAAACGTACCCATCGTTCCACAGGACGCCAATTGTGATATCCTGGGGTTTGTATGGAGGGACATCCTTCCATGGTAGAGGAACTAGCGACGTCTCTATATCCCACGGCTCTTGATCAAGGACGGCTTTCTCGAACAGCACAATGTCTTCCGCACAATGAGCGAGTGGCGAAATCACACAACGAATGCTTTCTTGTCCCTCGCCTGGAAGGCACACGCCATTGTATGGATTGCGCAGAGCCGTGGTTTTCAGACCCCACGAGTTGCAAAACGCAGCAGGAGCTCGGACAGAGCCGCCGACATCTGTGCCGATGCCCATTGCAGAGCAATGAAGTCCAATAGAGGCGCCTTCACCACCGCTGGACCCACCTGGGGTGAGTTTTCGATTGAACGGGTTCACGGTCGTGCCATAGATTGGGTTGGTGCACTCCATAGCCTGAAATTTGTTATTCGCAGGTCTATCTACCAGTGATGGGCTTCTTACCAATAAAGACTGTGGCTCGTTGGTCCTGACATGGAAGATGGCTCCTGCATTCCTGAGACACTGGAGCAACAGCGCGTCTTCCTTGGGGACATTGTCTGTATAAGCAACATATGCACCATGGCAGACGCGGCCCTTGAATCCGACATGTTCTTTCACAGAGATCGGAACACCATGTAATGGCCCGATGAGCTTTCCAGTTGTCCGGAAGTGTTCATCAAGCTCTGCTGCCCGACTCAGCGCATCGTCTGTCAGGAACTCCGTCGCAAGGTTTGTCAACTGATGGCCGACGTGGGCTCGTTTGAGAAAAGCCGTAGCTACTTCAACTGCCGTCAATGTCCCTGCTGCCATTCCAGCGACAAGCTCGGTAGCGGTGAGTACGGTGATCTCGAGTTCCCGGGGCGTTAGCAGTCCGCAAGACTCAATGAAACCAACGACATTGAGCTGTTCGGCTTCAGGGAGCTTATTTGCTGGTAGCAACCATTCCGGATTCAATGAATCCTGCAGTGTCTTCCGGCATTTCTCTGCCCGAGTTTCCCAGGACAGCGTAGTCATGATGGTCGCGCGTCAATCGTGATGAGTTCAAGTACAGAAAACAAATCAGCGATGATGATTGTCAAGTGGGAAAGCACATGTATCAGGGGGGATCGGTAGAGACGCAGGGCTTGGATATATCCAAGGTCAAACCCCGGTGGCACATATGGCACAACTGCTCCTGATCCATCCGTCTTAGTGGTACCACCACAGTCCCTCCTCTTTTTCTAGGCCATTATGGCCGATTTCCCATAGCATAGCCCGAGATACAGACGCTGGTCGCACAGTTTTGCAGGGAAGCCAATGAAATTTGCCTATCAGCCTAGTAGATTGAGGGAATCATCTAGATGACAAACAAAGACCGTCAATTATTAGCAACGCGTCTACCCATCGTCGCCTCATTTAAAATGGGGCTTATCTTAGTAACTCTCGCACATACCTCTGATTGGCCCTTTCTGCTACCTCGCAAATACCATTGATTGGCTAGATAAGCCGCTTTGGGCCAAGAGAGGAAGTAAATTCCTCTAAAAAGATGGATGATAACAAACTACACGCCAGCCGCATCTGAAGTGCGGACGGGTGCTAGAAAGCCTACTATGGTAAGCGACTGGAAGCAATCTTCAGATTGCGTCTTTGAGCTCGGGGTCAAGGGGCTCTTGATAAGCCACTTCTCAATCATGATTCTCTGAGGCAAAGCAGGTTACATTGTCTATTAGTCTCCAAGACCTTTTGGCTATCGGGTACATAAACACACATTTTCGTCAATCGGAAGACTCATGCTATTTTTCGTTCCAGGATGGTCTGCATCTGACTTTTTTCTGTCTCTTGATTCGCATCGCAGCAGCACAGCAACATCGTGAGGCCTTTCCGACACATTAGTATGGCAACTACGATGCCTCAGTCCGCCGTGTCCCCGGAGTTCATCCCGGGGACGATCCATTTGGTAGACCTGGATGGCACAATACACTCCCTTCATGCAAAGGGCAGCAATCATGACATTATTCTCGTCCCCGCGCCGTCGAAAAGTCCTGACGATCCATTGAACTGGAGCCCTTCAAGAAAGCTCTTGTCTCTGGGTTGCCTCGGAGCGTATGTACATGAAATAGAGGCTATGTGGGGGCTCACTACTAACCGCTTCTTTCAATCCTAATAGTTATATCATCTCGATTGCCATTGCCTCCGCCGCCATTTACTCCGTCCTTGTACCAATCTCCGCAGCTACAGGCCTCTCTGTGGATACATTGAACACAGGGACGGGTTACATGTTCCTAACTCTCGGATGGGGCTGTCTTTTCTGGCAGCCACTGGCTCAGTACTACGGAAAGCGCTTGGTGTATCTATTGTCGTTGGTGGGCACACTGGTAAGTCTTCTACCACGATGCTCGTAGAGGTATATACACTAAGAGGACAATGCACTCACAGGGTATCATGATATGGGCACCCTACGCGACCACCAAGGGACAATGGATTGCAAACAAGGTCATTCAGGGATTCTTCGGCGCACCGATTGAGTCTCTCTGTGAGATCTCTATTTCAGATGTGGTATGACCAACCGGAAATTTACTATTGAGTGAAGGTTGACATGATAACAGTATTTCACACATGAACGTGGTACATACATGGGAATTTACGCTCTTCTGATTGCCGGTGGTAATTTCCTTGCACCTCTCTTGATGGGGTTCGTCAATGAGGGTCAGAACTGGCAGTGGGTTTTGGTAGGTGCAAGCCCCAGGCGAGACTTCTCATTCTACGCTCAGATGACTAATCATCCTCAAGCACTGGTGTTCAATTTTCATCGGCGTTGCAATCATAATTGTGTTCTTCTTCATGGAAGAGACAAACTTTTATCGCGAAGAGCTTTCGGTGGACTCACCTGATGTACTGGGGTCTTCAGAGCAAGCCACCTCAGGTGTCGACACTACTGAAACGATACTGGATAAAGAGTCACAGATCCCCAACGTCGGCGGGTCTGACATGGGCACCGGATCTGTCGGAGACTATACACGGAAGACGTACCTACAAAAGCTCAAACTTTGGTCCAAGACTGACGCGTCAAGAAAGCCCCACTGGAAGGGCATGGTTCTGCGACCTCTGATTTACCTATCCTTTCCTGTTATCTCCTTTTCTGGATTTATGTACGGCGCTGTGATATGCTACTTCAACGTCTTGAATGGCACCGCATCTCTCATTCTTTCAGCTCCTCCCTACAATTTCCAGTCTAGCATGGTTGGACTTACTTATGTCTCATCCGTCATAGGAGTGTTCATTGGGTAAGACGCTACCCTGCCACGCCTCTTTTGCTAAGTGTTTGATGACGGCTTTGCCGGGCAATTTATCTAACTATTTTATAGAGCTTTATACTCTGGCCCTGTCGGCGATAAGTTTGTACTTTGGAAAGTTCGACGAAGCAATGGAGTAATGGAGCCAGAGTATCGTTTATGGCTATATGCTGCACTTTTACCCCTTGTGCCTGGTGGTTTGATTCTTTGGGGTGTAGCAGCGGCTCATGAGGTCCATTGGTTCGGGCTAGTGTTCGCCATGGGAGTTCTTGGTGCTTGCATCACGGCCGGGGCCCAACTCCCAATCAGTTATTGCATTGACTCATATAAGGATCTGGGCTCCGATGCAATAGTCACTGTTATACTTATCAGGAACACTATGAGCTTTGCTGTCAGCTATGGGTAAGTCTCCATATACTAAGAGTCCTCTTGTCATTCTTCAACACATAAAACCTTTGACTTTGCTAACTTCAGGACCTTTAGAATTACTCCGTGGGTAACCAATATGGGATATCAAAACGCATTCATCGTAGCTGGCTTGACAGCCTTGGCACAAACAGCCGTCTTTTATTTGTTCATCAAGTTTGGCCGTGAGATGCGTAAGAAAAGTGCGCCACGCTACCTTCGTTACGTCCAGCAAATCAAGGAAGATGGACTGGCACACTGAACAGACACCTAAGCAGACCTGCCTTCTGATTCATTATTAGATGACTACCTGCTCGATGGTTGCGCAGAGTCAAAGGTCTACGGTTTCTCCTAGGGCAACTTGAAGACTCGGTTTTAATTACAACGTCGTTCTAAACCTAGACTAGTCCTTATTTTCATGATATAATTCATGTCCTCTCACATGATCAAAAGTTGCTAATGTAGGCTCTTGTAGGCTATGTACTAGATGATGCTTGATGTACTAAGCTATTTTTACCAAAACTAGTATTGCGTGTTAGTAATTGCATTCTATCGATTGTTCGCTGTGTGACGCCTTGTATCTCCTAGTGTGAGACTTGAAAACACACCATGTCTCTGTTGGTCTAGCGACTAAGGGTTATTGAGTGCCTTATCAATAGACCCACACATCTGTCTGGACCATTGGCTTGTCTGAACTAGTGGACTTGGGGTAGATCTTTTTCTTGGCTGCCAGTTCGACTCCGTTCCACTGGCAGTCCAAAGCTCAACCTACGATGCCCTGCTTTGAAGTTCAGTTCTTGAGCTCGAATCATCCATGCGATGTCTTTCTTTCGAAGCCGAACAGGTTGTTTTACATGTCGCCACCGCAAGAAAAAGTGTGACGAATCAAAGCCCATTTGTCGGGGATGCGAACGTAATGGTCTACATTGCCGCTGGCCGGTAGATATCTCGCCCACCGTCACTGATTCAGCACACCCGGGTGCCACTCGCTCGAGCACCACTTCCGCATGCCTAGATACTCACTCGTTGAAAGTTTCAAAAACCTTTGTTACTCCAAGTGATAGCCAATCTGCGCAACACGAGACACACGCCAACCTTCAACCAAGGTTAGATGTCATCTCGGAGATTGAAAACCGGAGGATTCCGGGCAACGGAAACGACGCCGTCCCTGCAACCGAGCCTGATGATGAGAGCAATGCACACGAACCAGCAGGTAGACACGCTGATCTCGATTGCCCGGTGCCTTCCGCAGTTACCGAAACAGATCTGTCTACTCAAACTATTCTATTGCAATGCCCTTCAATCTCAATCTTAGGATCCAGCGCCTTGACCGTAGGACCTGGTTTCTTTCATGAGCTACCCCATCATCGACTTGAATCTTTGGACTTACTAGGATTTTATCTCTCACGTACAGCGAATAGTATGGGAAACGGCTCCACGGATATCAATCCATTCGTAGCCACGCTAGTCCCTCTTGCTTTTGCCAGCCCTCTTGTCCTGCAACTCATTCTAGCCCAGAGTGCAGCCCATCGTCACGCTTCACAAGACGACCAAAGCGCAAATGAAGCCGCTCATCGACATTATCACCAGTCTTTAAGTCAATTTAGAGAAGAAGTCGCCTTGTACATAGCAGGAAAAGAAGACTACCTCCTGGTTCTAGCGGTTGGTAGTCTGATTTTGTCACTGACCGAGGTAAGTTTCCCAAAGCCACGCCGGACCGGCTCTCGGTACTAACGGACATCCTTAGGTTGCGAGAGGGGACACCAATGGCCTTACTTTCGATCATCTCCTCGGAGCAAAGGCACTTCTCGGGAAGCTCTTAGCCAAAGCACACTCTCACATGATCGAAGGTCTTGGTGACTTCCTTATCGAATATTACACGCATATGTCTTCCCTCAGCATGATTGCAATGAGTCCTCAATACGCCACATCGTCGCTTCTAGATCCAGACATTATTCAACTGGCTAGCCGCCTTGTGCAACAGAAGTATACAGGTCAGCTTTGTGGTTGCTGGCTGGAAATTCTAATCCTCATTCCACAAATCTTTGAGCTGGGGACGAAAATGCGAGCAGCTGCTGACGCACCTTCGCCACCTTCTTTGGCTGATGATATCGTTCAATTCGGGCTTCTCCAAGCACAGCTCATGTCGTTCAGCCCCGGTGCTCCTGCACACTCACACTCTTTTTTGGCTGGAATTGTCTTCAAGCAAGCAGCCTTGCTATATCTCTGGACCATCCTGGAGAATCCACATCAGCGCAGAAATGGCTCTCTTGGCGCTCTCATACAAGGCGCTGTTTCTGATGCTTTGGAGGCGTTGACTCAACTCCCTGCCACGTCACGAGTGAATACCAGCCTCTGCTGGCCCATCGCGGTCATTGGAAATTGTGTGTCCTGCCCCGACAATCGCCAAATTTTGCGGGATCGTCTTGAAACTATGTATCGACACATTGGGCTCGGCAATATGAAAGCAACACTAGGACTACTAGAGCATGTCTGGGAGCAGCCACTTGAGAATACCAGTCCGTGGACGCTTTCTGATTGTATACAAGAGCACCAAGTATGGATTTCGTTTGCCTGAAGCGCACGAAATTCTAACGGACTTTCTCATCATGAGGTCCCAGTCGTGGACCTACCAAGTGTATTCTCGGTCATCGCTTAATTACAGGCCACCCATATTTTTCGGTGCTTCAGTTGCAGGTCCTTCCGGCGTCACGTATGCTTTGGTCAATCCACCGTCCACAACAAAGTCTGCAGCATTTACAAAGCTACTCTCGTCACTGCTCAGGAAGATCACAGCCTGAGCTTGTTCGATTGCTTCTCCAAACCGACCTGTTGGAAAATGGACTTCTCGGCGAAATCGCTTGGCACTGTCATCTCCCAGCCAGTCTTGTAGAAGAGGTGTACTAATAATGGCATGGTCAGTTGCGGGAGCGAAGTAATTCTGTATGTGATATTGGGGCGTACTTGAGAGGCGCAGGACACAGAGAGTTGAATCGAAAACCCTCGCGAGCATGTACAATAGCAAGCTCCCGAGTAAGAGCGAGTACAGCCCCCTTGCTAGCAGTGTACGCCAACTGCGGAGTAGCAGCTCCTACCAGCGCAACCATGCTGGCAGTGTTGATAATGCTCCCATTCTTCTTGCTGTGCCGTCTCAAGCTTCGTATAGCGTGTTTGCAGCCGTACCATACGCCCTTTACGTTGATATTCTGCGTGAGATCCCAGATCTCTTCGGGACATTCCTCTGCATCCCCATCTTGGGCATGCATGATACCCGCGTTGTTGAACATGACGTCTACGCCGCCCCAGGCATCAAGGTGTGAGACGGCTGCCTCAACGTCGCTCTCCCGGGCAACGTTGACGGCCAGTGCTTCAAGCCTGCCCTCGCGGACAGGAACAACATCCTTCACCTTAGCCAGGGCCTTTTCAAGGCCTGTGACTGTGACATCTGTCATTAGGACAGATGCCCCTTCTCTGCTCATCAGAATAGCCGTCTCGAGCCCGATCCCTCTGTAGATACCACCGAAAAATTAGCTGCAATGTGTGGCAGGAAAGGGGACAGTAATGAAGTGAGTAGGTTACCCTGCTGCGCCAGTGATAATGGCATTCTTGCCCGAGAGTCGTCCCATTGCTGTGATTAAAAGTTGAAGTGAAGAGATTGCAAGTGTCTGATGCGAATGCTAGCTAATGTGGCCTGGAAGCGTGTTCGGTATAGAGAACTCGAACAAGACATGAAAGAAAGCACAAAGTCCAGACATCTCGAGAATCATGCGATGCGGCTACAAAACATATTTCTTAACGATATCATCGCCACTCCACTAGTTTGAGCTTGGAATATCTCCCCTAACTTGAATCGACATGGGCGGTCTATCGGGCGCGCGCGATATTTTGCTCTTCGAACTGTCATCTGACCGCGCAACAGCAACCGCCGCTAAACATATTGGAGTAGACAACTATACACAAGAGGCTCTTGGCATTCTGGCAATGGCTCCACCAGCGCGGGTAAGGTAATCATTATATTGTGACCAGGAGATGCGCGCTGGCGGCTTTGAGACAAATCTACACTGGCTAACCACTGACCAACCAAGCGCGTTTGCGAGGATCCGTTTGTATGCCCTGTTAGTCGTATGATTTCATAATCTTAGATCAAGTTTACACTAGATTCAGACCCTATAGATGTTGATGTCAAGTATAGCAGGTATATGTATGAGATCATATGCATCCACATTGCCTTCATGTGCTCTTGCTCTGTACATTACCTTCGTTCCTTCCTTGGATTGAAGCGGGTTGAAGTTGAAGCGGGCCGAAGCTTCCTTCCTCTCCGATCTCGGCAGGTGGGGGCGGGTGAAGGGGGGTTCTCCTCCAACTTGGTAGGGCCAGGGCGGGGCGGGGTGTGAGTTGCGCTGCCAGCGAAAGCACGCCGAAGCGAACAAAGCCGTCCCCGACTTCGCTCTGCCATATACCTAATCTTATCGAATGTTTTCTTCAATTCCTTTTCCAATCTCTCTTCTTATTGGCCAGTTTGATACGTACACGTCCCGAGGTCCGTCTTTGAAGAAACGCTAGCCTCCTTCGTCATAACCCTAAACTTCTGACTTTCTCCGTCGGAGCTCCTACCGCCCACCTCCCACCTCGTCTTCGACACATTCTCGTGCTTCGTCACACAAGACCGACCCTTCTTTGGACGAACTCCGTCGGACGAGTATTGCAATCATGGCGGAACACAACATTGTTGTTTTTGCGGGCGACCACTGCGGCCCAGAGGTGACTGACTACCCCTGAGCTTTCCTGCCCTTGACTCCAGACGGAGAAAGGCTGACTTTTGTTGTTTGACAGGTTATTGCTGAGGCAATCAAGGTGCGAGTCTGGCATTGGCGACCTGCAGTTGAGTACGTCTGACGCAGGATTCAGGTTATCAAAACGGTCGAGGAGCTGAGCCCGACTGCTGGCAAATTCAATCTCCAGGACCACCTGCTCGGAGGGGTAAGTCGTCCCCCAACTACGGATCACACGGGCCCAAAGACATCCACGAGAGAAGCCTCTTGCTAACCTCGGCGTTTCTCCCCAGTGCTCCATCGACCAGACCGGCACCCCCCTCACAGACGAGGCCCTCGCCGCCGCCAAAGCCGCCGACGCCGTGCTCCTCGGCGCCATCGGCGGCCCCAAATGGGGCACCGGCGCCGTCCGCCCGGAGCAGGGCCTCCTGAAGCTCCGCAGTGAGATGTGCGCCTATGGAAATCTCCGTCCCTGCTTCTTCGCCTCCGACACCCTCGTCGAGTCCTCCCCCCTGAAGGCGTCCGTCTGCCGTGGCACCGATATAATGTTAGTCCGGGAGTTAACCTCGGGCCTGTATTTCGGAGAGCGAAAAGAGTACGATGGGGTTAATGCCTTCGACACTACTGTTTACACGAAACCAGAAATCGAGCGTATCGCGCGGATGGGCGGCTACCTGGCCAGGACTAGGGGAGACTCGCGGGTTATCTCGCTGGACAAGGCGAACGTGCTGGCAACAAGCAGACTCTGGCGTAGTGTGGTTGAGGAGGTCTTCAAAAACGAGTTCCCCGATCTCAAGGTCGAGCATCAGCTTATTGACAGCGCGGCCATGATCATGGTCAAGAACCCGACGCAGCTAAATGGCGTTGTAATAGCGCCCAACTTGGCAGGTGAGCGAGGCCCCTCGTCCACCTCTACGGCGGTTTCGCTAACGAGTTTTCAGGGGATATTCTCAGCGACGAGGCGAGCGCCATAGCTGGAAGCATAGGCCTCCTCCCGAGCGCGAGTCTCTGCGGGATTCCAAGCTCTCCAGTATCTTCCATCTATGAACCGATTCATGGTGAGACTCCTATCCTCCACCCGATCCCTCACATAGACATCAGTCGCTAACGCAGATGACAGGTAGCGCGCCGGATATCTCAGGGAAAGGGATTGTCGTGCGTTAACACCCTGTTTCGGGCGAATCCTATCTATTCGCTGCAAGTACAGAGCTGACATCATTCCCAGAATCCCATTGGCACCATCCTTTCCGTGGCGATGATGTTCCGGTACTCTCTGAATCTCGCCCACGAGGCTAAAATCCTCGAGGACGCGGTCCGCGCCGCCATCGACGCCGGGCTGAGAACCAAGGACATGGGCGGCAGCACGAGCACCGCAGAAGCAGGAGATGCCATCGTTGCTGAGCTGGTCAAGATTCTCAAGGCGTGATGAGATGTCTCACGCGAAAAGGGGAAATGGGGTGGAGGGGTGGAAGATTTGAAGAAAATAGTGGCTAGGAAGCGAAATGAGTTCGAGAAAAGAAGTGGTAGAGGAAGACAGTGGTTGAAAGAAAAGTGGTTGAGAAGAGATCGGTTGACACTGAAAAGTGTTGACGAAAAAAAGGGGTTGGCAGAAAAGGGGCAGACCAAAATCAGCTGTGAGGTTGAAGACGTCTGAGAAATGACAAAGAGGGTTGGAAAAAAACTCAGAACCAGAAATTATGCAGAAACATGGAAATGGGAGTTAATCCGATTGTCAGGATATAAAAGATAAATATTAGAATATTTACTATATTCTTTTATTTGATCAGATTTGGCTCAGATCACTCTGTCCAATACACTATAAGATACACAATGAGACATAATACCATTGCCTCTCTTCACAGTAACCAATTGTACACAGTAAAATGTTCTCAACCAATACTACTATATTTATAACATAAACAAATCTATTTTAATAAATAATCAAAGCTCCTCCAAGCCCTGACTTTCCCTAATGTGGTGGCTCTTCAGAGTCACAAATGCATCGAATCCGCGGGGTCCCAGCGTGCTACCCAGCCCAGAATTCTTCCACCCAATCCAAGCAAGATCCTTCAACCGGCAGTGTTAGTAATTTCCATTTCTTCTTGAGCCAATGGCCGACCTCTTTGATAAGATGTCAATACTCACAGGGCTGGGGTAGTCACATCGGTTGATGTACACGGTGCCCGCTTCTATCTCGCGCTCCAATACTTCGCCGCGCCCGATATCTTGGGTCCAGATGCTCGCAGTTAGGCCGTACTCGCTGTCATTCATGAGAGACACGGCTTCGGCATCATCGCGGACCTTCATAATCGGTATTACTGGCCCGAAGGTTTCGCTCGTCATAACTGCCATGTCGTGCGTAACGTTTGTAAGAATTCGTGGGATAAGGTAATTGCCTGTTTCTGGGAGTACGGTAGATCCAATCTTTGTCGGTGTTGCATCAATTGCGCCCTTGGCGAGTGCGTCCTCTATCTGATTTTGGATATTTCTCAAGGCAGTCTGCGAGATGACAGGCCCGATGCTCGTTGCGCCATCAGTTGGGTCGCCGACTTTGTACCTAGACATGATATTAATTGAACAAGGTAAGCGGTCGCATGTAAGAAACACCTACCCGTCTAGATGGTGCTGCACCGCGCGCACAAATGCATCGTGAACCGACTCATGTACATAGACCCTCTCAACTGCGCAACAACTCTGTCCAGAATTGAATACAGCACCATCCACAATATTTGCAGCTGTCCAATCCAAGTTCGCATCGGGCCTAACGTAGGCAGGGTCGTTACCGCCCAACTCAAGGTTCAAGGGCACGATTCTATCAGCAGTCGCGCGGCGAATGGCTAATCCAATCGCCGTCGATCCGGTGAAGCAGATCTGTTTGATGCCCGGGCACTGGACAATACTCTCAAGCTTCGCATAGCTGCCACTGTGCAGGACCTGAAGGACGTCGGCGGGAAGACCTGCGGCCGCGAATGCTGCCAAGAATCGTTCCGCAACCAATGGCGTCTGTGGCGACGGCTTCAGGATGACCGAGTTGCCAGCTAGAATTGCCGGTACGAGTGTGTTGATTGTGATTAGCCATGGAAACTATGTTTGCTGATTTAGCTTAGCCATCACCAGGTAAATGGTGAGCGTTGCGAACTTACGTTCCATGCGGCAATGATCAAGACTGGACCAACCGACTCTTTACTGACCCATCTTCGAAATCCAGGCTCATTTTGACCAGGAATATCTGCCAGTGAGGCACACGCGTTCTCTAAGAGATATTCTGCGCGCTTTATCATGGTAGTGATCTCGGTGCTTGCCACTGCGGTGGGCCGACCCATCTGTCTCGTAAGCTCCTGGGATAGCTCTTCCTTCCAAGCGACGAGATTGTCGAGAGCCCTGAGCACATATGACTTGCGTGTTTCAAGTGGTACTTTGCGGAAAGATTGGTGGGCAATCTGGGCACGAGAGAGCATGCTCGCTACTTCTTCCAGTGAGGTGCCCTCTCGCTCAAAGACCACTTCCCCGGTTGACGGGGACACGGTGCGGATGAGATCCGGCATTGTGTTTGTGAATATAAGCACTGACCAAGATACGAGACTGAAAATGCTCTGCCGCAAAGAACCCCCAAAAGCTGATCAAGTTTTGAGATACAGAATGAGTCTTAAGTATGCGGCACTAAGATTACATGTTGGAGGCATATTTCCAGGTGCGAATCCACCACGGTAAAAGGCCCTGGCGTTACGCTACTGTTCAATAAGAATACCACCAGAGGGCCTGAACATATGAGCGAATACCTACAGTCACGCCACCTTGTCTACTGATTAAGATGCCTCCTGCTTACTGAGCTAGACTAGTGCGAATGATAGAGTAAGGTATGGGATCTATGATCCGTAACTACACGTTATTTCTCTTCGTAGCCACTGGTGGATCTATCTCGAGAATGAAGCGCCATATCGCGGCTGAAACTAAGAGTCCATCATGTCGATCGTTTGCTCGTGACATGCCACGCCTGAACATATCATCATCAAAAATTCCCTGCTTGTGCCTGGTTTGCAGGATTTCTGTCATGATTTTCTCATCGAATTCTGGGTGCCCTTGGATTGTTAAAATCGACCCAGACTTATACATACCCTGTATTGAGCATTTAGTGCTGCATCCCAAGCTTGAGCAGCCTTCTGGCAGTTCGAGGACAACGTCCCGGTGCATTTGATGCAATCGCTGTAGTTGCATACTCATAAGAACTTGTCCCATAGTTGAGGTTATTTTAACACAAGGCACATTACCAAAGAAGGTACACCCAAAAGATATTGACCAGTCTGATTCAGTTGAATATCGTCGACTGCTATCTCCCAGCCGAGGGCATTTGATCCAACTTTCCCGCCGAGAGCCCGTGCAATAATCTGATGTCCAAAGCAGATGCCGGTCGTCGGTTTAGAGGCTAGTTTCAACGCATCTCGCACATATTGAACAAGCTTTAGGATCCACGGCTCGTCATCATAAGCAGTGTGTTCTTGCAGAGTGAGCTGAAGGTCGGCTGGAATGGAAAATACGATGGCTTACTGCTCCCTGAAATTAACAATGCATCGACTTCACTCAGGTTAGGATAGGATTGTGCAATGACAACGTCCCATTTTGAGATGCGAAACTGGACACCTCGTCCACTGAGTCCCAAGCTGGAGAGCCCCTCGTCTAAAAGCTGTTGAAAGATATCGCCGTAGGTGCCTCGAGATGCCAAAACGGGCGCTACAGGAGTATCACATTCAAGAACGGCGATGTGCAATTGTCGACTCATATCTCTCAAACACTCCTGAGGGAGATGATAGGTAGGCTGAATGCACTTCAAAGAGAACTTGACGAGCTACGTGCTATAATCATTCTAGGCAGAAACATCTCTCAGACACGATCAACCAGGTTCACCAGTGCAGGGTTGAAGTCTTAGTCAGGGGATTGATGTTGCTTGAGATAGGCGAGATCGGTCTCATTCCATTTTGTGTCATCATCGCAATTATTTTTCACTGGACAGGGAACGATCAATAGTCAATCAGCCTAACTACATACAAATGACATTGGCTCCGCATTGACAATGGAGAGTTTATCTTCCTGCGATGAGACGGCGCCTTTAGTAAGACATAAGAGGGCGCGGCTTGCGCGGTAAGATAAGAGGCAGCGCGGCTTAGTGGATACAGGTGGCGCGGCTAGATATCTATTGATTCCTCGGCGTCGCGGCGAAGGAATAATAGGGTCTTGGACTCAATGAACATGCACTTTCACTCTAATTTGTCAAAGCTTCTCGACGATTGCAGACCAAAGCGTTGCCGCGCTCCCATTAATATCAAACAAGACACATCGCGCGTGTACAGCAGCGTAATGGGTCGTGAACAATTAGGCTGGGCTATAGCGGCGAGGCGAACTATCTCTGATTCATGTTAAAATTTATGGTACTACCTGGCAGCAGCTGTTGATCCACATGAAGGAGAGTAATACGGATTTTGCGTATCCATTTCTTGGTGCAATGCAAGAGTTTCCTTAGTTGGATGTATCATCAGTGTGATCTTTTAGAATAAACGAAAGTAAGAAAATCCTGAAATTTTCTTTTTCAGTCCCAAAACAGAATTTCGTTGGTATCGACTGCCCTGACTTGACCATGGCTTCCCTTTCCGCAGAAAACATCAGCGAAGAGCTAAAAGATGATCTCAAGGTTAAGGTCGCTGGGGTCGACGCCGATGGCATTCTGCGTGGCAAAGTCATGGCGAAGGAGAAGTTCCTGTCCACTGTGACGTTGGGCTTTGGCTTCAGCTCTGCCGTCTTCGGGTGGGATATGCACGATGCTCTGCTGACTTCCGAAGTCGCTACGGCAGCAGCAACCTCTGGCTACACTGATATCATAGCCGTCGCCGATTTGAGCTCTTTCAGAAGATTACCGTGGGAGAACAACATGCCCTTTTTTCTGCTGCACTTTCATGTTGGAGGTAAACCGGTGGCGGCTTGCCCCAGAGGCATCATGTCCTCGATCACCAAGAAGTTAGCCGCAAATAACTTCAAAGCTTTGGCAGGCGGTAAGACCATCATATGTCACTTCGAGGATTGTTTGGCACGTTTTGATGACTAATGACTTACTCTTAAGTTGAGCTCGAATTCGTGAACTTCCAAACCCCTACCGAAGATGGATATAGCGTTGCCAACAACGGCAGGCCTAATTTGGCTGCATTTTTGTCTAAAAACAGCCCAGGCGCGTTGCGACCTATTACACAAGGCATGTTCGGATACAGTATCATAAAACCGATCGCCTCGAAGGAATACTTCAACAACATTTTTGATGCAAGTGTGAAGTTTGGGTGTAATCTTGAAGTCTGGCATACCGAAAGCGGCCCTGGAGTCTTTGAAGCGGTAATAAGCCCTCTTCTTACGGTGATTGGTGCATCTTTTAATTGACATTTCCAGGCCTTGGGTGTCCGGGATGCTGCCGAAATGGCTGACAGAGTCTCTTTATTCAAGTAGGTCTTCAAGCACGACTCGTAGAATTAAGAGCGATGCTCATTCAAGGAAATTTTAGGCTTCTTGCCAAGTCTACAGCAATCGACTATAATATCACGCCGTGCTTCATGGCAAAGCCTTTCCAGGACCAGGCTGGCAACTCGGGTCATATCCATGTCTCTCTAACGGATGAAACCGGGAAAAACCTCTTTGCTGCCGAAAAGCGTAATACTCAGTCCTACTGGCCTGACTTAGAGAACTTCTCGGAAATCGGATATCATTTCTTGGCTGGTATTTTAGATGCACTACCCGACATAATGCCTCTCTTAGCGCCGACGATTAACTCCTATAAGCGCTTTGTTGAAAGTTTCTGGGCCCCAGTGTTATTGACATGGGGTTTGGAGGACCGTATGGCCTCGATTCGGCTCATTGCGCCACCTACTTGTAAAGCCTCCGCTACACGCATGGAAATACGGATACCAGGTGCTGACATGCATCCACATTATGCTCTTGCTGCTATTCTCAGTGCGGGTTTACGTGGCATTCAGAAGAAGCTTGAGATCACAATCCCACCTAATTCCGCTCGATCTCCCAAGGATGGCCCACCGATGCGGTTGCCCAAGACCCTTCAAGAAGCTGTTGACAAGTTCACAGCACCGAGTAGCGTGGCTCGGGAGCTGTTATCTGATGAGGTCGTGGATTTCTTCGCGGCGACACGGGAGCATGAACTCAGGCTCTGGAGGGAAGCTGTGACAGACTGGTAAGTTCTAATTCAAAATTTTACATTAAACAACCGCTCAAACCTTTGCAATAGGGAAGTTACTCGATATATCGAAATAGTCTAGTTTTATAGATAACTCTTCGTCCTATATTTCTAGTATTCCACAACAGTATAGAGGTCGGCATGTTCATCGCCACGAACACACCTGAGTTTATTGTCATGCGATCATGTCGTGAATAGGAGCTGCTTCGCGGTATGTTCTTGAGAATGTCGGCCGGAGCATATCCTTCATTCTGTCCCAAGACTGAGAATGTTGAAGAGCTTTGAAACTATCATCCACGTGCACGGTTCCGGGGATATTGGTAAAGATGGCAAATCCTATTGACGAAATCCGACGGATTATAGGGTGTAGATTCATTGCTATGAACTTGCTTGCGTGTCAGATAGAATGAGCAATTACGGATAAACGAGTCCATTCTCAACTTTTATTTCATGAGCTATTGGTGATCGTGACGGTGTCGATGATTTTGGCTTACTTTGACCCACCGTCTGTAGACACCACAGCCCCTAGCGTTCAAGAATCGAGACATGCTCATAATGATTTCTATGCCTATAGTAATGGTACGCGTAACAAGCCAGACCATGACCTATACGTATGCTAGCAAGAACAAAAAGAGAATATACAAACAACTATAGACCATCTATTCATTAAGATAGCCGTATATATTGAATATCAAAAGTGGAAGAGAGCTTGTCAAGATCTTAGAAGCACCAGTCTTCAGTATGCTATCTGTTGTCCTAGATAACAATTCGTTTACCAGGATTTGCATCTCTAAAAGCGCTAGACGGGGCGGGATAGCCAGAGCTTCCACAGCTACCAGATTTGAATTCCCAAGTTTTGTCATCATTATGCTAGGACTTGACACAAGAAACACATTCTCACTAAGACACAACACTTTTTACAGATAATAAGTCTCTTCAGTAACCGAACGATCGATTGTAAAATTTCATTAATCCCGTGAACGTGAAGGCAAGTATAGATTTCATGCAAAATAAAATATCATCAATCTAAGGTGCAAAGCCAAAAGCCCATTCCTCTATCAAAGAATCCAAAACGAGAGTAATTTTCGACAGAATCCCAATTAGAATAACAACAACCATAATGTCGTTCATGTCATTCATGTCATTTAGTCCACACGGACCCCCACACTATCTTTGCCGGCATTCGTAATATCTACTCGTAAGAGCAGTGGCAGCTCCTGCACAAAGTCAGTTTCCAAGCTTTTTCGATTCACAAAGTGATACGTACTTGAATAAGAGGAATCCTTGACACTTCCCGTCGCTATGTCCGCACTTCTTGCAGTGATGATCGCACTGATCATCGCCACCGAACAGGCCGCAGGCGTCAGACCTGAAGTCACGGCAGCCTTTATCGCCGTGGTGCGGAAATCCAGGGTGGGTGGTGTTGTACGCAGATGAGTTCCACGCCGAAGTGTTGAAGTTCCTCTTGAAATGCTCGCGGGCTTGAGACATGGCCAGCGAGCGGTAGAATGCGACTTTCTCCTCAGACATGCCCCGGATCTCGGAGGAATTTGTCTCTCTAGCCACAGTCGATGCTTCCTCGGACTCCCGCTCATCCAAGTCTCTTGCAGCGAGATCTGCAGCAACAACTGCGACGGCATCATCTGTCACGTTGATAATGGGAGGGACAGTAATGTTAAATGGTCTAGGAATTGTGATGTTGACCGGCCCCAGGTCTCTTGCGCGGAGATGGGTCTCGTTTGTTGGCGCACTGAAAGCGCTAGTAGCCAGGACGGCGATAAGTGCAGTAAAGGTCTTCATCCTGTCCGGAATACTGCAACAATGATTTTAATAAAGAATGTATCGGCAAATAAGAATGAGTGATAACTAGTCACAAGTGACTGCGTAAAGAACGTTTTTTTCGAATGAGTTGAATTCGAAGTGGTGGATGACAGGGACGGGATCGAAGCAGATATACTTGGGCCACATCCTGATTGAAACTTCCCCTGACTGAGCACCAGCGCTTCACACTTGCAGATCCTGCAAAATTCGGGCACAAACTTGTGATAAGGGTTGCAGAGTTGGAGCACTCACCCTCTCAAAAGAATGGGAGGTCCACAGAGCATAGTGCTTGACAGATACGGAACATTCCTCGGTGGGAAGGGCGAATCCACAACTGCAAACCCGATAACTCGATAAGCTTGTGAGCTCTCAAGGCAAGATATGTAGATCCATACCTCGCAACCTTCGACATCCACTGCGCACAAGGCTGTCCAATTAAGCTCATTTCCTCAATTGAATGGCCCTCAAAACTTTCGGCGTCTCTTGAGATACTTTTATGCCGAGTTGATGCTCTTTTCGCCAAGTGCCATGGCGATCATTGACTTAGTTGCTTTTGCCGTCGCCATTTCTTTGTAAGGCTGGAACCGGGTCTCAGCAACCACCATTCGTACTAAACTTTTAATTGCGACGAAACCAACCCTATGTGCGCGGTTAAATGTCTGAGTATTTGGGGCACTGACAGCTGGATGTCTCCAGTTGAGATCGAAAGGCTCAACCTCCTGGAAGTGAAAGGCTCTCTCGTGCGATTTGCATTGATGCCATAGACGATTACTGCTTCGGAGGTTCGATAACCAAGGGCTACCTGTTAAATCTTTAACCGGATGTATCAATTTTGTGGAACGTAGGTATATCAACACTCCTTCCCAATTTCAAAACTGACAGCTAATGACATAAACCTGAATGCTTATTAGATACAGTTTGAAGTGACCATCAGCATGGCGAGACAATGGGCAATGGCGGATAATATATTTGAAGTTATGAAAGAAATTATAATTGAGCACGAGTACGGACCTGATTGTTGCTATGTCTGAGTCAGTCACGAGTTTTGTCTGTTGTGATCTAGTTCATCGAGATTTATGAAGTTCGATGTCCGGAACTTTCCAGTCCAACAACGATCGATATCTTTGTCGCAGCTTGACATTCCGCCTTGCAGCTGAGATCCGAGGTAAATCACTTATGGGGGGATTTGAGCCAGGGACGCAGTTTGAGTGGGCTTTGTTTCTTAGGCTGATATCTATGTAAACTACGACGACCTGTCTTGAGGCGGGATTGCAGTGCCCAGTACAGTGGCTGCTAGTGACTAAATGGCAAGCAGCTCTCATTTTGCCTCATATCAATGATCACTCAGAATAGGCCTGGAAGACTGCGGAACTTCTTATGTGTGCATTTGGTCCAAAGGGGTGCCTGGTACCTGAGGCAGGTATCAAGATATTAGGTTGCAAGGCTGCAGCCGCGCACTAGCGCATCATGGTGACCGGTCACGGGAAACTGGAGGAACCTTTATAAGGTTGTTCAAGGGCCCTCAACATCAACAAGCCTGGTCAAGCGGTAAGAATACTGGTATCAACAGCTACTGTTGGGTGTTCGAGCCCGAGGCGTGTGAAGCGAAATTCCTGAACAGCAGAAAATGCGGCGCCTGTATTTGGGGGTCCGGGAAGAAGCCTAGCACTCCTCCAACGGCTTGTTTTTTTTTGTTTCTTTTTCTATTTTGGCTTATTCTCATTTTTTCTATTTATTCATCTACTGGCAGCCTGGAATAATTTAAAGATTTCCTCCTCAGTGTAGCTTGAGAGTCATCGGAACGAACTGACTTCAAGTCTAAGAAGTTCGTGCCCACCGGCTGAGACATAGGACAGCCACCAGAAAGTCCCACAAGAACGGAGAACGGCACAATAAACACGATGGAAGCGAACCGTTTCGGCAGTCGTGTTTCGGGACCGCCCTGAACTATCACATTCCATCCAGGAAAAGCTAGCGCTGAGCGGCCAAGAAGAGGTTCTCATACATAAACCCTTTATCATCCACACCTTCCTCTGCCTAAATCTGGAGCTATGTGGCTCCTCCTTAAAGCGTTGATCTACGACAGTCTCCCGCTTCTATACTCTAGCATGGAAGATACACGCCGTTGATCGACATTGCTTCTCAGCTTTGAGAGCGCCGTAAGACAGATGATCATGCTTAGGAAAGATCGTATATCTGCAGACACGATTGGGATGAACCCCATCACAGTCAGTGCGGTTTCCTGTGGATATCATTTTGGATGCTGATATGTTTAGATTTGCCATCTACTTCGGAACTTTCCATGGCACAGTTGAGTTATCGGCTTCATGATCAACACGGGGTGATTTCCCCCGGTGATCGATCGTGCTAATCGTTGACATGAAACCCGAGACATTCACTAGGCCTGCAAAAGACCTCCATGATGATCCTATCAATACTTCTCCCGCTCGTGTCAGGCACAGCAAATTCCACACGGACACAGAAACAATACCATGATCAAATCGTGCTTCTCGTATTGATGGGACCAGAAAAGAACCAGCAGTAGATCCAGCCCCCTTTCCCTTGAGTTGTAAACTAAACGAACAAACGCCTGATGCCAGATATGCAGCACACAAGAGCCATGCCATCATGATGCCATTCCAGCAGCCTCGTCTAATATCATCCATCACCTGGATCTCCTTTTTGGGACGCTCTCGCTCTCGCGGCGCCGTGTCCTTCCCTCTGCTGACCAAAGTGTGACTCTATAGTTCTTTTACCAAGGCCTAAGTTATCGCGCCACCGCCGCACTCAGCACCTGCGTCCTGAAGAAGCCTCCCTTCGTCCGCTCAATGACCTGCTGGTACACGCTGCTCGGCGGGTGGTTCATGACCACGGTGCCCTCCTTGTAGTCGATCTTGGCGTCGAGGCGCGTGTCGCGGATGAGGTTGACAATCCACTTCTCGCCCTCGTCCACGTTCAGCCCCAGCCGCGCCGACAGGCCATTGATATCAATGCGCGCGTGAATCTTGCAGTAGCTCTCAAAGATGAGGTGGCGCGCCGCGTCGACGAACGCGTCTGCCGTGCCGGCCAGGAAGAAGTCGCCTCGTAGGACCTCCTCGGCGCGGCTGAGCTGGCGCTGTGCCTCCTCGAAGTCGAAGTCGATGAAGAGCGCGCGGATGAAGTCGGTTACGGGGTCGTTGTACTCATAGGCTTCCTGCCTCACGATGCGGACAATGTCCTTGATCTGCTTCTGGTGGGCGCCCGAGTTGCGTGTGCGACCACGGCCGGTAATGACAGCGGCGGCAAGATATCTCAGGATCCAGGGGCAGGCGGTCTGGATGGTGTTGATAAAGGCGGGGGAGAAGAAGAGGTCGAGGACGGGATCGCGGGCCTGGTCGAAGTTGAATAGGGGGAAGAGGGCCCAGTGAGTGAGCCATGTGCGGTGGCTAAGCTGTGCTAGTGGGTTGTTGAACAGCTTTGTGTCGATACCCTCCTTCACCTTCTGTAGTTCCTCTAGAGCAGACTCCCAGTTTGTGGATAGGATCTCTGATGCTAGTCTTCCCCATGTCGCAGCGCTGACCTTGTCGTTGTCGGTTGACAGGACACGGAACTGGTAGAGGAGTTCGGCCGCCGCGCCGTAGTTGCCGCAGCTGTATTGGAAGTTTCCGAAATCGTAGAGGGCGTTCACGTTCTCGATCGTAACCTTTGCGCTCCTTATTAGTATCCTATCCTTCGTACCCTACTCTTCTCTTCATCCCTGGACAAACTCACATCGTGCTCCTTCTTCAAGAAGTCCAGGTTGGCCACCTTATCACTCCGCAGATTCGCAACGACATCCTCACGACCCAACAGATCCGTAATCTTTTGCGTCGCGTCCTCGTACTTCTCGAGGGTCTCGATGACCTTTTGGCGCTTAGCCGCGAACTCCTCAGGCGGGTTCTCGAGGCCCTCGAGCTCGCAGTACAAGTTGGCGACGTAGTCGGTCATGTTGGTCTTCTTGAGCAGCTCGTACTTGGCTCGGGTGATCTCCTTGGCCTTGTCGGCGTCCTTTGTCTGGCCATCCTCATCCTCGAGCTGACCCGCAGTGAACTCGAGCAGCGGGAAGATCATGTGCCTGTCCAGTCGCGAGACCAGCTTCGGCAGGAGGTCGTACTCCGAGATAGCTATTTCCTCCATCTTGGCTGGCTGACAGATTGATTCTCGTATTTCGATGACGGAGGGAGTCAGTCGAGATCGTCGTCGTGGTCGTTGTCTTCGAGAAATCGATCGATCGCCTCTCTCCTACAGCAGCAGTCCGGCGACGATTTTGGTGGTGGGGTCAAAAATTCGAGGTTTGTTTCGTGGGGCTCCTGCCGCCCAGCAAGCGGCCAAAAATAGCTCCGCCGCCGACAACGCTACCGTCAAGGAACTTGCCGGCCGGCACCAGTTGGCGGACTGCGACCTGCCAGTTGAATGTCGACGACTTTTCGCGATACTCTCCTACTACGGCAGCGAAGCCGACAAACTTCTATTTTACTACAATAGACAGTCGTATACTGTCAATTGAAGCGCCGCAAGCTTTCCATTCGGCTGCTACAAATCTCAGCCATGTTACGGCAAATACCCTCCCTCCAGCGCACAGCGCCACGCCTCCTCACCCTCTCTCGACCTACGGTCCTCAGCCCATCCACCCTCTCATCACGATCACTCACAACTGCCACATCCTCCGCCGAAGCCACCGCTCCCACCCCCTCACCAGCCGAATCCCCCTCCTCACCTCTGCCAACACCTCCCCGCCAACTCAGCTACCTCGTGTCGCGGACGCCCTCCAACAACCTCTCCGTCTATAACCTCGCCAAGTCAGGCGGCACGCAGAAGCTGACGACGGTCAAGAAGATTGCGGGGGACGCGCGCGCGCTACGCCGCGAAATGGTGGCCGAGCTGGGCTTCCCGATGGAGGAGGTCAACATCAACCCCGTGACGGGACACATCAATGTCAAGGTTCGTCGCGCCGTGCTGCCAGGGACTGTCAATGAGTTGGAGATACTAATGCTGCATTAGGGCTGGCACCAGGAGAAGATACGAGCATGGCTGGAGGCGCGAGGATTCTAAGGAGAGAGAATGAGAGGGAGGGACGATTGGATGTGTATGACTAGCGCCTATTGCTCATGGAGAACGGATCGTCCCAGTATTCTTCAGCTCGACCAGAGCGGAAGTGGGAGCCTTTGTACTATACGACCAAACGGATATGTACGAACATCGACAGGAGAAAGACGGCCGCCTTCCCACCTAGATAAGAACTTTGATACCAACTCAAGAAACATACACAACAGTGGCCAAGGGTCCTAGCTAGCGAAGTTGGGTTTGATTAATCTCAACAGGTGCTAACCAGGGAGTGAGAGACCTGATCACTCGGCATATATGCAGTCTCAACAAGAAACGGGTAGAAACGTAGACAATAAATATCGGACAACCACGGAGCACGCTTGCACTATTGTATATTTACAGTTACACAGATAAAGTCGTCTTCAACGCATTGGGCCTATCTCCATAATACTCGGAAATTGTAGGCTTCCAAGGCTATGCCAGTAACATACAGTACATATACTCCTTCCTATCACCTCAAAGGTTCCTCACGCCCTAAAATCAAGCTTATGCTCACACGCCGGCTACCAGAAGAATGCAGAAAGAATTATGTGTTTCTATTTTGAGGATCGCATTGTTGTTATAGCTAGTCTTCAAGAGAAGCATAAGCAATCAAGTGTGCCAATAGCCCATCCTTTGTCCATTCCAAACTGTCCATCTGCAATGCGCCGAGCACCGTGTCATCACTCGGTACGACGTTAGGCGGTATCGAGCCAGCAGGGTCGTTCGGATCCCTGGCCTTCTCGGCTAGTCTTCGTAGCATAGATACAGCGAGCACTACAATGTAAACCAGCTCCTGATCCTTCTTGGGCTGGCTACGAGGTTGTGCGCCTGACCGCTGCGGTGGACCTTCAAATTGCATGCTGAGGGCGCGGATGAGGCGGAAAAGATTTTGGGCAAACCCATTGCCTGAAGCAAGCCACGCGCGCGTGACACCTGACTCATAACCTGGCGCGAGAGATGCAACTATCTCTGCTGAGAGCAAGCCTTGCATGAGGAAGGGTTTTCGAGCTTCGACGTATGGAGGCAGGCCGGCAGGGCGAGGATCTTTGTTCTGATCGGGAATCGGGGAGATGGCCAGGGCAAAAGTTCGCGTGAGCAGCTCACAAGCCGGGGAGCCGGCGGCATCGGTAGCGAAGATAGTCTTGTAGTACGTCCTATTCGGCTCGTCCCTTGCCAGTAGTTTGGCTAAAACATCGACGGCATGTGGTAGATAGGGGTGTGTGTTGGGGTCGTACGGGGTGAAAAAGATCTTATCGCTGTTCGCCATGCTGGGAACTGGTGATGGGGCGAATGATAGAACAAATTGCAATAGACACAACGCCTGTTCTTTTCCGGGTATTTCCACCGAGCCAGCAATATTTGAGAGAATAATAACAACATCCTTCATGAAGTCCAAGCTATCCGAGTGTGTTCGTAGAAGCATGCTTCGCGTTCCAATATATCTGATAACGACACACAAGAATTTAATGACGATATCGTCTGCCAGAAAAGCATGATTGTTGGGGGAGAAAGAGAGGTTCCGAAGGATGGTGGTAATACATATGAGGCGTTCAACGGCGCGATCCAGCTCATACTCCTGGGATCCAAATGCCGGCACGTCCCGCAATGACAACTTCTCAAGCTTAGCAGCTCGGAACGCGTCTTCGTAGGAGTTGATCAAGATCTCGTCTGACACCTCCACGGTGTGTTCAGCGAGGACATCAATCTGATCTTCCGCACACTCGACGAGGGTTTCAAGTAGGTCTTCGCACTTGGAGAGATCAAGCTCAAGCTGCGGATACGGCGAACCAGTAACCGTAGCCAATGTGTCCAAAGCTACTCGGACCTCTCCATGAATACCGCACTGAAGACTTCTGGACAGGGCGTGGATATCAATGTTGCCGAGCTCCATTGCCGTTGGGACAGTAGGTCGATAACGGTCCAGCTCCTCAGCTAGTTTCATTGACACGTTGACATCAACGCCCCCATAATAGTTCTCCTCCCGCAACCTTGAGCAGGACTCATATGTGGTTGGGTCCGCAGGCCGTTGTACAGATGGCCCCTGGGCAACCATTGTGCCCGCACCTGGATGTGCGCTGCCTGGAACTGATGCGCTGCCCGCTTTGCTGGCCGGGGAGGCTAATGCGAACTCATCGGTGGTTGGCGTAGCTTGGTGACTCTTAGACAAGCTATTTCGCGAGTGACCTTGAGCTGCATTGGCCTGTTGGGCGTGAGGTGGTTGTGGTGTTGAAAAGCCATTCACATTGGCTTGTGCGACACCCGGAGGCATCTGCTTCACCGGCGTCTGGACCTGGCCTTGTGACATATGCGGCTGTTGTCCTGGCTGCATCATTTGACCAGGAGGCATGGCGCCAGGTGGCATTTGCTTGGACGGCGTACCCTGCGAGCCTCCCATGCCCATGCCTTGTTGTTGTTGTTGTTGTTGCTGCTGCTGCTGCTGTTGCTGCTGCATCATCTTCGAGCGGTTCTGATTCCAAGCCTCTTCGAACTTAAGTAGGTTCCGTTCATATATCCCCTTCAAATGTCCCGGTGCAATTGGTATCTGCATAGGATTGAAGCCGATTGCATTTGATATTTGTGGCCACCCATTCGAGCCAGTGACGTTGCGATAGCCACCGAACTTAGAGACGGCTTGGAACAACATCATCAAATTGACGGGACGATCGGCGACAATGGGATTCATCTCGAGCGGCAATTGTTTGTTGTTCATGAACACGGTGAGCTGCTTCATGAAAGCCTCGGGGTTACCACCACGCGACATGCTTTGCTGGGGTTGCTGTTGCTGTTGTGGAGGTTGCCCCATTGCGCCTTGCTGGGCGGCCCTCATGGCTGCTACATTGGCGTTTGGTGGCATCTGTCCATTAGGCATCTGCTGTCGACCCATCATATTGCGCTGCTGAGCCATATTTTGCTGGCCCATTTGCCCTTGCATTTGTGCCATCTGCATATTACTCTGCTGCAGCTGCCGTTGAAGTTGCATTTGATACATCATCTTTTGCTGCTCCATGGCGTTGCGCGCTTGAGGCATGCCCTGGGGGAATCCCATCTGGCCACCCATTTGATTTGGCATTTGTCCCATTTGGCCCATCTGTCCCATCTGCGCAGCCATTTGTTGCTGCATCTGGTTCATCTGTTGCGGCATCATCTGGCCACCCATTGTATTAGGAGTGGGCGACGGGCGGGCGGGCGATGGAGTGGGCGTGAAGTTCGGTTGGTATCCTTGCGGAAAATTGCCCTGCTGCATATAGGGATTGGGTTGCGGCGTGCCGCCATGTTCGGATGGTATAGGTGAAGCTTGAGGGCCGAATTGCTGGGCGGCAGGAGAGAATGGATGCGGCGATGTCGTAGAGACGCGTTGCGGTACGCTGCCAGGGCGCATCTGGTTGCCCATGATGGGAGACGGCGTCGCATTTGCAGAGCCATTCGGCTGAAGATGGGGATACGGAGATGGCTGGCCCGGCGTCTGCTGAGGCATACCCCCTTGTTGGAAGTTTGGGAACTGGCCCTGTTGAGGAGTCTCGGCGCGCGACGTCGGCAGCATGCCTGGGTTCTGTCTCGGCGACCCGGCCATGCTGTCCTCTCGTGGTCTCGGTCGCTTTGACGGTATGACGGGGTTCGTCTGGTACATTGGATTTTGAAATGAGGGAGAAGCGTTGCGCATTTGGCCATTTTGCATTGCGACAGCCATTTGCTGAGCGTTGAACGCCGCCTGGTTGAACTGTGCGGCCGGGTTGGCCATGAATGCAGACGGGTCCATCATGGCGGCGTTAGGGTCGTTCATCTGGGGATAGCCGTTGGCATTATGGCTCTGCACAGCAGCCTCGTTCATCCAGGAGCTCATGGTGGATGAACGGGGTTAGAGTGCGATGGGGAGGAGACGTGTGGTGGTGCTGGAGGTTGTAACAGTCGACAATGCAGCTTCGGAGGCGGGAGTGGGCAGGCCGACGATGAGGAGAGCAAGCGCAGTCGTCGAACCCATCTGGTTGATCGCCTTGAGAAGGAGAGTCAGCCAATCACAGAAATGGAAAGAAGAGCATCCATCGAGATAAGATCTGGTGATATGACGATGGCTAGTGACACGGCAGCGTGCTGTCGCGATGGAGAAGTCGCGTCGGATCGCGGGTGCCAGGCGCCGCCGTGTGTGTGTGTGGTGTGTGGGAAAGTGAGTGTATGTGCGTGTGTGAGTGTCCAATGTGTTTGTGTGTGGAGTGCGAGGCAACAGGTGAAGGTAAGCCCAGGTAGCCTGTTGTGGGAACTAGAAAAGGGAAGATTATGGGGCTGCTTTACTTGAGATGACCACTGGGACACAAGTGTCAGAGCGCTATTGCAACGCTAACCTGGGTGTGTAGGGACAGCGTGTAGCGTGTAATTGTGCGAGTCGATGCGTGTAAGGGTGCTGTTTGTCCGCCGGAAATAGCGAGTTAGGTACCGAAACAAGCAGGATGGCCAGGTACGGTAGTAGGGGAAAATACAGCCAGCCTTGACTGAGGGTAGGGAAGGGAGAGAGGCCAGGGAGAAGCTTCGAGCAGCAGTGCAAAGGGATGCGACAACTAGCGACTAGGACGAGAATAGAGGGATAGGAGGACCAACAGTAGCTTCGGCAGATAGTGAAGAGAGTATTGGAAGCAAGCATGTGTGTGCGATGGACGATAAGGCGAAGTGTGGTGTAGTGTAGGAAGGTCGGCCGTTGAGGTGAGGGCAGAAATTTTCCCGGCAGGGAGAAGCAATGCAGGAATAGCCTCAACTCACTCAGCAGCTTGAGCCAACGTCTAGCAGTCGCGCAGCGCAGGGGCCATCAAAGCCACATGCGAAAACATCGACAGCGCGTCGCTGGAGCAAAACTACGGAGGATTCGATGGGGAAGGGCCAGGGGATGGTGATGGGGCAGCCAGCGAGAGCGAAAGCGGTCTTACGTACCTGAGGCGCGCGATTCGTGACAACCGTGAGGAGTGACGGAGAGTGAGCGAGCGATCGAGCGAGTGACTGACTGATTTGACTTGACCTGACTTGACCTTGACTTGTAGCCGAAAATTAGGAGTAGAACAAGCGGCAGTCAAACGCGACCGCCAGCAAGAAGCCAGGCAGACAACGGGGCAGGGTTAAGGTCGTAGTGAGTAATGGAGACTGGGTAGAGAGACCAAAGGAGAGTCCAGCAGCGGGAGAGCACAGTACCGAGATTAGGTAGGCCGGGACTACAACTGCTCAACTCAACTGGACTGGACTGGCTGGAGACTCTGAACGTCGGCAGCTGACTTGAGCTGAGCTGGTTCCGGTGGGTGGAGGGTGGAGGGTGGAGTGGCCAGACACTCTGAATGCGTGTGAATGATTGAGTGAGCCACAGAGGGGGGGAGATGGAGCCTCCTCTTTGGCCGTGTGCTCTCTTTTGCTTGGTCAGTTTGCTCTTCTCTGAAACTGAAACTTGTTCCCTGCCTCGCCCTTTTTTTCCTTCTTTTTCGCTTCGTCGTCAAATCAAAGACAGGGGGCCCACAGAGTATGATCCCCGCTTATCCGCGGATTAATTTCGGATTGCCGAAACAGGGAAAGTGCAGTCCACTATAGCCACACCGCTGCCTATCAAAGACTGACCAATGAGATGCTCCCATACAGAGACAAGGCTGGAGTGGGTGCAATGAAGACTGCATTCACGCCCCAAGCTTTGTCTTTGCAGTTGCTCTCCATCGGAGGCAGCCCAGGAGCTTCCTCTTGAGAAATTAAAGGCAGGGTACCTCGATAGGTATTTTCTGGGGTTCCCACTAGATGTTTCTGAGGTGTTCGTGAATCTAGGAGCCCTGTGATAGCTTGGTGCTGGAATCATATGTTCCATTGAACCCGCCTTCCGGGACAGTCATCTTCGAAAGGCCATACTTGTGCTCCGCTACCAGTGGCAAGATTTCATCTTGAAGAAGGAAGCGGCAGTAATTGACTTGATGGCGACCAAATAAGACGATAGAGAAGTAGAACTTGACATGCCCTTCGGTTGGTGGATGCGTAGCGGATATAGCTATGGTGAAAATGCTTTGTCACTAATAGCCATCGCACTGATACGCCATCCACACTGAGTGAAACCGTTCAGTAACTGGGGCTGGACCTGTCGCTGTAGGTATGTAGCAAATGCGAGGCTCAGATCGACAGCCGTGTGCATGTAAGTCGGCAGAAGATACAGCTGACCGGAGTGTCAAGTACCGCAGAGCTTGGGAGGAACAAGTCGTTTTTTTTTCGTACCTATAAACGTACGAACAGCTGCAATCCAGAGCAATGCAGCACACCTTTGCTATGCCTCAGCAGCAGATGGTTCCACATTCGATTTGCGGGACGCTGATGATAATGCTTTGGCTGCTGATATGGTATCCTGGGAGAAGTGCTTTAAATTCCAACACAGCGAATTGATGCACTATAGTAATGCTCTGTCAGCGACTGTTAAGGGATCGAGATGTAGGCAGAAAAGACGGGTTGATTCGTACAAAACGTATTGCATCGTGCCGAATCACACTCTTTAATGCTGTTGATTCGACATGCATCGACTAGTAGGTCGTCTGACAGCAGCCGACGGGATGGATGGCGCCGAATGTCTGGGATCTTGTGTTGCCCAAATGAGACTAGACGGCACTTTTTGAAGTGCCCCCAGGCCACCGGAGGAACGGGCAGTGGGCGGCGACCCTCTCGTCACACCCACCTGAAACCTTGCAGGTTGAGGCCACGCAAAAATTGAAGGCTACCCTTCGCGCGATTTCCACAAGAGAACAAGACGTCGAGCTGAGTTTCAGCATTGTCGTCGTGACTTTGACCCAGATCTTTGGGCTCAACAACTAACAAAGCGATGAACAGCGTAAGTGACCGTTCATCTCCAGCGGGCCACCAATGGAGGGGCGAAATCCAGGTAGTTAGTCTAGGCTGGAATGGCGCTGGTGGGATGCTGGTCCCCGTCTCTGCCGGTGCCCGCCTCATCTCTCATCTGCCAGACATGGGGCATCTTGTCAAATGCCCATCTGTGCAAAGACAAGGCAGGCCTGCAGCAATAGGCGGATCGGTGCTTATCCAATCTGTACAAGCTTCTTGCACAATGGCAGACATGCTGCATCTTTGCCCGGGTCGAGTCGAGTCTGCATCGTCCAGCTTATCGTTGTCGTTGGTTGACGAATTCAAGGGACTATGTCATTGTCGCCCACTTTGACAGCACCTGGGTCGATCCACTAACAGGGAGACCAAGCCATGTGGCAGAAGGACTTGTGAGAGGTAAGAGAGGGGTGACCCCAGCCATTTCCAGGACGTGGGAGTCAGAGGGCGTCCGTCACACCTCCACCGTCGTTTTCTCTCGTGCCCGCTCGTCGTAGGAGGACGCGATTGAAGCCCGTGAATGTCACTTATCGCTTCATCCGGCTATCCTGAACCGTACTCTCGCTTCTGGTAGACAGGGAATTGTGTCGCTGCCATTTCGGTCGGATTGTGAGCATTGGTTGCACCTTCCAGGTCGTCATGGTACCTGCCCTGTGGGAAGTGGGCTGCTGGAGCCAGCAGAGCCAGCATCGCTATGCACAGGTGCCATCGAAGCAGCACAATCGCTGTACAACAGCCACGACGATGAGCAAGAAGGGGAAATGGATGAAGGAGCGAGAATTGAGAAAGGAAAGGAAGAAATTGAGCGCAGTAGAATAGGGAAAATGGCAGATGGGGAAGGGACGTTGGGCCACTTTGTATTGCGAGGTACCTGCCTGCTACATTGTACAGGACCCAACACCATTCATTGATCACGCACCACCCATCGCTCCTGCCCTGCAAATCTTAGGCTTACCTAGGCAGGCTCAAGGGGAGCCGAATTGAATGGAACTAACAAGCAAAACCCCATGAAAATGGATAAACTTCTCTTAGTCCCAGGCCAAGCAAAACGCCAGCATTCATTCACGCCAGCTTTCTTGTTCTGTTTGTCAGTCTGTCTGTCTGTCTCGACTAATCTAACATGTCAATCGTACATTTGACGTCCATTTGGTCCTTAAGTGTTGATACCTCCAGAGTGAAGTGGGCACACAGCAGGCAAAGTCAGTCAAGTTTTTGTCTGTGGGCTGGTGAGACTGGCCGCTGCTCCTCATCGTCGTCACATCTCCACTTACATACACCTCTGCAGCGCACCAGAGGACGGGCGAACGAGCAAGGGTGGAGCGGACAGACAGACAACGAGTGCCCTTTCACGATTCGATTCGACTCGATCCAATCCATGCATCCATCCATCTCGAGACAGATATCATATGTCTCTCGTCCGTTCGACTGCCGATAGAACTCTCCCTGTCTCCTCAAGTAGGAATGCGAGCTGGCTTGGTTGGCCACGGTGATCATCGTTGCATCCCATCCACATATCCAACCGCACCGCACCGCACCGCTGCTGCTCATGCCGAACTGGGGAGATCCTGTCCCCTCTGATTGAACCATTCATCAATGCGGCACCGGCACACCCATGCCCTGCCTACATATGTAGCCGCCAACGATGCCCTCTCCTCAATTTGCACGCTGTTAATCTACATCCCTTAAATCCCTGCCTCGTGGGCTGGCCTGGCATCACCCGACGATTTCACCACTGCTCGTCTTTACTTGGATACGCCTTTCCCGTCAAGTTATTTCCCTATAGGCTTCCTCGACCATCGTCGTATCACAGCCGAGGACTGGTGTAACCCAAACAACCTCAAACCAGATTCGTCAAGCATCTTACTCACCCCACATTGTAATACTGGGTGCCGCCGCTGACTTTCGCCACTGCCGCCGGGTCCCATCCTGCTAATCTCCTATCCATATGATCTCGACCTATTTACTGAACTTCTCTCGTGGCTTACAAAGGCGAGAATGCTTTTCAGAGCCACTTGCCGTACATTGTGAAAAAGCACACTAGCAGACAGCGTCCTCAAAGAAAACTCAAAGTCGATCGGCGCTGAACCGGGAGCACATGCCGGTTGCAGATCTGTTTCACAGGCTCGACCGTTGCCCCATCATTAACGAAATCAGCTGTCTGGCGTATCTAACCTGCCATGTGTAGATCGTTGGACGTAGGAAGAAATACTGACATCTATGATCTCCGGCTACGCATCGCTCTACTGCTATAGCTATAGATTCGAAGTGGTTGTGTCCTATATCTCAAGCGTTCAAGGGTTGCTACAGATGAATCAACATGCTCCTTACCTCGCTCAATGTGATATCAGTACATGTAACTAAGATGACATTTCCAAGTCCTGTACAAACATCATTTGAATCAATCCCGTCATTGCTGCTCCCATGTCAGCAGTCAGTCAATCGTCCTTACAACTGTTCTCGACAACAATCAATTACCAGGTTCATTCGGTGACTGATCCTAGCAAACTGGTACCAAGCCAGCATTAGGTGGTCCAAGCTCCTCACCTCTCATCTCCCTATCCCAGCCACTCATGCCCGCTCCAAGAAACGATCGCAAGTACGCGATATTACATCGTATATCACCTTCTTTCCCGTGAATTCGATTTCAGGAGAGTTGAGAACAGAGATCATGCCGCCAAAGAGAAAGTCAGCTCCGGCAGAGGAGGCAGAGGCGCCGCGCCGGTCAACGCGGCAACGGACCTCAGCTGCACACGAGCCTGCACCACCGCCGCCAAAGAAAACCGCCAAAGCGCCGGCCAAGGCAAAGGCTGCTGTGAGCAAGAAGAAGGCAGACGAGCAACAAGAAAAGCCCAGCAAGGGTGTAGGTCTTCAGCTATCCCAAACATTGCGTTCCGTTTCTGATAGCTGCGGCAGAAGATCGCGAAGGCATCAGAGCCCAAGAAGGCAGCCAAAGCTTCGAGTGAAGCAAAGCCTGTCGCCAATTGCTCATCTGCGGACGGAGAGAAGAACTACTGGCTCTTGAAAGCCGAGCCCGAGTCGCGGCTGGAGAACGGGATCGACGTCAAGTTCTCCATCGATGACTTGGCTGCCAAGACGGAGCCTGAGCCATGGGACGGTTAGTAACTGCCATTGTCGCCAGTTTGAAGATATTGTTAACTAATAGTCAATATATAGGTATTAGGAACTATGTTGGTAGGAGAACTCAATGAATAAGCCTCTCAAGATGCCCCATCAGACTGACTAGATCAACCCCCACAGCGCGCAACAACCTCCGCGCCATGAAGAAGGGCGAGCTCGCATTCTTCTATCACTCTAACTGCAAAGAACCGGGCATAGCAGGAACAATGGAGATTGTGCAGGAGCACTCCCCAGATCGTGAGCTCATACTCATCCTCCCCCCTCCCAACTCCCCTCGTGTCTAACCACCCATCTAACCCGGTGAAAGTATCCGCCCACGACCCCAAAGCACCCTACTACGACGCCAACTCCAAGCCGTCAGACCCCAAATGGAGCGTAGTGCACGTCAAGTTCCGGAGCAAGTTCGCCGTGCCGATCACGCTCAAGGAGCTGCGGGAGATGGGCGGCGCCGGCAAGCCGCTGGAGAACATGCAGATGCTGAAGCAGTCGCGGCTGAGTGTCAGCAAGGTGAGCGCATCCGAGTGGGAGTATCTGGTCGGGGTCGCGGAGGAAAAAGCCAAGAAGGCCAGTTGATGATAAATGTGCCTCTTCATGTGGAGCCTTGTATTATATTGTAGAGTACCACTGTGCGTAGCAGGGCGCGTTTATGGGTATATATATCAGTACGAAACTGGTGTCTCCTTCAAGGGCTCTCCAGCTTTCGTTTGGTGTGCTCCAGCACAGTCCTGAGGGCTGAGTCAAGATCCTCTTTAGCGAGTATGGGATCAATCCAGCCAACAGTCTTCGCCGTGAACAGCTCCCTGTCCTCTGTCGCTTCAGTCTGAACTTTGATTCTAGCCAAAGACTCGCGCAGTGCCTTCGGGAAGGCGGCCGTGCTGACATCAACACCAACAAGCGGATGTCTCACGAGGCAGCTGCATGTAGCGGCATGGTTCGGATACATCTCCGCCATACTGTCCAGAACGAACTGGATGAGCTTGGCCTGTGCACCGACATCTGTGAATAGTGAGAACAAGTTGAAGAAGGCCTCTGCCGCTTCTGGACCAAAGAATGGCTGCTTCTTGGAGACCTCAAAGATGGCCCTTGGTATCGCCCCATCCAGCGCGGGGCTCTTCTCGAGTTTCTTGACCGCTTCTTCGTTGAAGACCTTCTTGGCCTTCTTGCCGTCTGCGGCTGCCAGGTCTGGTATTAGCACATCATCGCCATCGTCATCGTCCTCGTCCTCAGAGTCGTCATTCAGCCGAATGATATCATCTTCCTCCTCCGTCTCCGCCGACCGCGCCGCCGCAAGAGCCTTTGTGCCCTTCTTGCCCTCCATCCGGCCCAGCCACTCCATCTCCGACCGAGCATACTCGATCCACAGCACCGGCTCCGTGTTGCAGAACCGGCACCCCCGCATGAACAGGCTCCGCGCATTATCCATGTCCCCGTTCCGCGCCGCCCTGCGCGCCGCCATCGCCCACAGGCCCGCATCCATGGGGTGCAGCCGCAGCGCCCGCGTCACGATCTTGCGCCATCGCCGCGTGGCCTTGACGTCGGCCGCGTAGTCGAGGTACTGCCGCCACAGGGTGACGGAGCCCGGGTGGCGGAACACGGCGCGCTCGTAGATGTTGAAGACCTTGGCCTGGCCGGCGTGCGAGGTCGCGTGCTTGATCTTCAGACGGCGGCAGCGCTTGGCGCGCAGGGCTTCGAGGGACAGTTCCCAGGCGATGTAGGCCTGGAAGTCGGCGGGCTTGGAGCCGGGCCCGAGGACGATGTGTTCGAATTCGGAGCGCTTCTGGACTAGTGTTCGGATCTCATCCTGTAATATCTATTAGCTGACCCATTCGTCTCCGTCATTGGAAGGACAGGGAGAGAAGACGAACCTTGGAGAAGATTTCCTTCTCCTCAAACTCTCGTAGCTGAGGGACGGAGCGTTCGAGGTAGAAGCGGGCCTTCTCTGCGACGTTGGCCATTTTATCGTCTTGTTATCAAGACGACTGCTCGTGACATAGACAAACAGCTCGAGAGAACCGGAATTACCAGGAATGTGCCGATTGTTGACGAAGTTGAAGGTGAAGATATCTACATAGTAATTCTCTCTCTTTTGGATGCTGCCGTCTCGAAACTTTTTAGCGGGGCATGGCTGCTTGACCCAAGAGGGCAGGCGGTGAGGGGCTAGCCCCTTGAGCCCCTGGAACCCTGCCGAGCCCGTGTCACTCCACAGGGGAGGGGGGCCTTCTTTTCAAGGGCTCCGAGCTCTCCGTAGCGATCAGGAGCAAGCCATGCATCCCTTCCATCCATTGGCTTTTTGCGAGGAGGACGCGATCGCCGCCGAGGCTCGAGCCAGGTGTAATCTTCGGTAATCGCTCTCTGAACACCACCGCCTCTTGCACTAACAAAATCCTCTTCTTACTTCATACACTCTTTACTATTACCCCCATTCCCCCTTTCTACTTTCCATTCTACACGCCTTGAGATTGTACAGATCTCGGCGTGTTTGATGGGAGCTTCTTCCTCGGTTTCCTGTAGCTGTAGCTGTAGCTGTAGCTGTAGCTGTCACGGGTAGGCGCGAAAGCGAAAACGAACCGTCGTCGTGATGGCTTCCCGGTACAAGGACAAGGACGCCGGCGTCGTGCTGTCCTTCAACGCCAGCTGGGTCAGCTGGGCGCATACCGTCGTGGCATACTGTAAATTGATGCAGACTCCTCTAGAAAAGTCACTTCTTTCGCTAACACGGGCTCTTCCTCTTCGCCAGGTGCCTTCTTCAGCGCATTGATCGTCGGCGTCTCCCTCCACTATCACAAGATCGTCCAGAATGAGTGGTTCGGCTACCCTCAGGAGTGGTTCCCCTCTGTCTCCTCCACCATCGGCGACCGCTATCCCGAACGGTCCTTCTTCATGGTCTTCATTGCCATCACGTCCGGTATGCCCCCCAGCTTCTTCTGGACAGAGTCTCGGAGCTGTTCAGTGCTGATATATGTCCCGCCCAGGTCCGAGATTCGCCCTCGTCACGCTATGGTATCTCCTCACCGCTAGACCGGGCCACAAGCTGCCCAAGTTCGTCGCCTTCATGGGCGTCTTCCGCACGCTGACCTGCGGCGGCTGGACGTATGTCACCTCGACCGACGACCACGACTGGCACGACATCTTCATGATCTCCTACCTCGTCTCCACCATCCCCTGGACTTTCGGCTGCATTGCCCTGAGCCCTCCGAACCCGCAGGCGATCAAGTACAGGAAATACATCTCGGGGGCCTTCTACGGCGCCATCATCCCGCTCGTCTACTTCTTCATCCAGCACAAGGTTCACAGGATACCAGGAGGTAAGGGTTCCCGCAATGGGGATGTTGGAGCATGCATTGGGCTAGAACTGACATGATTGCAGCCTACACGACTTACTCCTTCTTCGAGTGGTCATTGGTCCTCCTCGACGTGGCCTTTGATGCCGTTTCGGCTCTGGATTTCGAGACCTTCGAAGTGCAGGTCAAGGATACAAAGGGGCTGAGCAAGGGGTACGTGCAATGGCTCCCGAAATAGTCCTCGGGAGAGCGTATACATGTGTGTCTGCACATATTGTACATTCTGTTTATGACGATCATGATGATGATGAATAAATTTATGTCTTGAATATTTTCTAAGTGGTGTCTACAGTGCCAACCCCTCCTCTGTCCCGACCGCCGTCCTCGAAAAGGAGTAAGTGCCCGACCCGTTGCCCATCCCTAGCTCTCGGCTAATAATTCACACAGAAAGGAGAAGGCCACCGCCGGCATGTTTTCTCAGCGCTTTAGCACCGGTGAGGCCCTTGACATTGCTGCCGATGTCTACCACGGGTTTGTCTTCTGGTCGGTTTTGACCAGTTTGGGAGTTGTCATCTGGTGTAAGCGATGTCCGTAATCCCATGCGGACAGTGTGGTAGCTGACGATAGCAGACTTCCCCCTTTGGCACATGGGTATTTCTGGTTACGAGGCGCTCGTCATGTCGACCATTTCACCGTTCCTTCTCGGTATCAGACCATTGCGTACCCTTGTCGTCAAGAACCTGCGTGTAGTACACTTGTTATCGCTGGCAGGTCTGTTGGCATATCTCGTCAAGGATCCTGTGTACCGTCTCTTCACTGTTGGCTTCGGTGTATGGATGCAGTGTCTCGCCTGGACAGCCACCCTTTACTCGGAATCCGTGCATCCCGCACGTCTCGAGACTCGGGTTCTTGCTTGGACCATTGGCCTGCTTATGTCAACCATCATGAAGTTTGCCTGGTGGACCAACAACCCCATCTGGCCCATCATGCACGCTGCCAACGGTGGGTGGAACGGCACAGGTTTGCTAATCGCTATTCCTGCTGCTTTGCGGTTCACTCGCAAGGCTCCCCTGAACAGCGGCGAATCCGAGGACAGGAAGAGCGGCTCTGCATTCTTGTCAGCATTAGGTCTTGGTGGTCTGTTTTTCGGTCTACACAGCTTGCTTTCCGACACGAGCACGATGATCCTATGGGTGTGGGAGGGCTATCCGATCCGTGGACCGGTGTCCAATGTTCACGGCTGGTACACTATCTTTGCTATGACCGGCGGCATCATCCTTGGATTCAGCAAGCCGCAGCTTGTGGGCACCTGGTCAGCCTACATGATTGGCGTGGTTGGTGCAGCTATCCTTACGACCTGCAGCAACTGGTTCGGCTACTATGGAGCTCTCACTACGGCCACTTACCTCATGGCGACCTCTGTGCCTCTTATTACCAATGCGGCGAAGAAGAACCCGGGCGTCACATTCGGCCTGGGCTTCCTGATCTACAACTTCATGGTGCTATTCCATGTCTGGGTTGTTGCGTATGCCTTCGTCCCTGGCGGCCCACTTGTTCGTGAGCATACCGACTGGATCATGACCACCATGATGCTGTTGATTGGCGCCGGTGTCTTTGATCTCATCTCTACTCAACCGAGCCGCAAGGCCTATGCCAAGCGACCCATCACTGCAAACAACCACCGCAAGTACCACTTCAGCGCATTGGGTCTTCTGAACATCTTCTTCCTGTCTGCCGCCTTCCTTCGCTTCCCGACCAACGACTACAAGCCCTACCATGCCGACAGCAAGCTCATCACCGCGGGCATCTGGACAATCCACTTCAGCCTGGACAACGACATGTGGTCGTCCGAGTACCGCATGCGTGACCTGATCAAGGAGCTCGAGGTGGACGTCATCGGACTGCTCGAATCGGACCTGCAGCGCATCATCATGGGCAACCGCGACACGACGCAGTTCCTGGCCGAGGACCTGGGCATGTACGTCGACTACGGCCCGGGCCCCAACAAGCACACATGGGGCGCGGCGCTGCTCTCCAAATTCCCCATTGTCAACTCGACGCACCACCTGCTGCCCTCGCCCGTCGGCGAGCTCGCACCCGCCATTCACGCCACGCTCGATGCGTACGGCACCCTCGTCGACGTGTTCGTCTTCCACTCGGGCCAGGAGGAGGATCCAGAGGACCGCCGCTTGCAGAGCGAGTACCTCGCCAAGCTGATGGGCTCGACGGACCGCCCGGCCTTCCTGCTCAGCTACCTGGTGACGAAGCCGCTCGAGGGCAACTACAACACGTACGTGAGCCAGACGAGCGGCATGAACGACGTCGAGCCGTCCGACTGGGACCGCTGGTGCGAGTACATCCTGTACAAGGGCCTGCGGCGCGTGGGCTACGCGCGCGTCAGCCGCTCCACCATCACCGACACGGAGCTGCAGGTCGCCAAGTTCGTGGTGCCGGCCAGCGACGAGGAGAAGGACGTCCAGCTTGCGCTGGCTCATGACGTGCGGAACCGCAGGGTCGCGGAGCATGATGTCCCTGAGGGGTGGAGGTTCCCTGCCATGTTTAGGGGCGAGGGCGTCAGGGGCCATAGGTATCATGTCTTTGATGAGCCTTGGTATTATAATTATTAAGGGGTGTGGTAGAAGAGGTGGGAGGGGAAGACGTAAGGTGGGGAAAAGCTGGTTAATGGGACCGTAGCTCTCTTTTGTATGATGACTGTAGAATAAACTCGTGATATCAAGGCTTTGTTTACTCGTTCGTAAATCACCCGGCAGAAGCTCTAGTTCATCAGAGCTCCTGCCGCTTTCTCCATCCGATCAACAAACCCCCAAACTCGCAGACGCCAGAAGTCTTGTCGCTCTCCCTCAATCAATTCCATCTTTTTCCGCCTCTGTACAGCTCTCGCAGACTTCATCAAACTCTTATGAACTCCTGGCGATAGCTTCTTGTCTCTCATCTCTATCTTTTCTGATCTTGCTTGGAAAACTCGACACCTGACCGCCACTCCTCACAAAATTCCTTCCTCGCCATCGAGTATGAGCGAAGATCGCCGCGCCTCAGCATCTCCTGAGCTGATCAGAGCCTTCGACATGGCCAGGCTAGGTCTCAGCAATATTGAGGACGTGCCCGACGTCACCGACGCGTGGCTGTTCGTGGTCCCAGACGGCGATGTGATCCTAGTTGTGGGAGAAGGCGGGGTGAAGCTGAGAGTTCACTCTCAGGCACTTCGCAACGCATCGAAAGTGTTCGACGCCATGTTCGGACCTCACTGGGCAGAGGGGCAAGACCTCTCCAAGGAGAACCCGAAGGAGATCAGGCTCGAGGAGGACAACTGCGACGCGATGTGGAGAATCTGTTGCGTGATTCACCATCGCAACGACCTTCTTGATCGTCCAAAGGCAAAAGATGTCCTCGAGATTGCTATCACGGCGGACAAATATGACCTCGGCAATGCTCTAAAGTTCGCGAGCAAGGAGTGGCTGAGTTTCGACATCGATCATTCGGAGAGCACAGCATTCCTTATGGTCGCAGCATTTCTTTTTCAAGACTCTCACGCCTTCCATCGACATGTCCAGACTCTTATCCTAGATCATACTCAATCATATTGGGATCTTTTCAGAGGCAGTGAGATCCAAGAACTCATACCTTTCAAGGCTTTATGTAGGTAACAGAAAATGGATCCCGACAGTGGACGACTCAAAACATATCGGCTAATCTTTTCGATCAGACCTCATGGAACAAAAGAGGACTCAGATGCGAGCAGACATCTCCGTGCTGATCTCTGGGCCACTTATCGGGCGTCCATGCTCTTGTGCCTGGATTACGAGACTGCAGCGAACCTTGACCAACCTCCGCCTGAATAACAATGCTCATCAAGTCATGTCTACCCCTTTATCGGATCTTTTAGACGAGTTGGGGCCTGTTTCGAATGGAGAACATCATAGCGATTCTTGCCCAAGCAGGACCCAAGGTCAAGTCGGGGACCACTATGTCAATAAACTGCAAGAAATCAGAGACCAAGCTACCATCACTTTTGTAGAGCTGGACGATTAGGGCTCTGCGACACAGATGAGATCAGCGGACCCATGGTACTTGGGGGCATAGCAGTTTGTTAACTCTGCCTGACACCTGTCAGCAAGGCAATCATGACAAACTCACACAGCATGATCTACTTAATGTAAACGAGATGATTTCTTCATCCCACAACGAAACCATGTACGGCACAACAGTCTAGTGGATTTCTCTGCCCTTAAGGCATCGAATCATAGAAAGTAGCTGATGTAATAGAAACCATAAAAGCATAACAGTCTGTGTAGCAAGTCAAAACTCGCTAAAACTGTAGCAAACAGTCTGAAGCTTTACTTCAAATATTGGGCAAACAAAACTCAATTAAGAGACAGCTCTCAATGTGTTCATCGTGCTCCAGAGTACATGAGGTCACGTCTTCCTCTGATTTGGAGGACAGCCGATGCTTCTCGGCCTGCAATGAGTCCCTCGGGATTTCAAACAGATTCTCCGGGTCGATGTTAAAGACCTCCTCTACAATTTATCTCATCTAGAAAGCATTCTAGATTCCCCTCCAGCAAAACATATCTTCGAACAGTGGTAGATCAATATAATCTGAGTACCTTGCCGAAGTACCTCACTCCCACATGGTTAATGGCCAAGTTTTGGCCCTCGTGGGGGACTTCCCCGAGCCTCTCACTACCTAGGTAGGTATTACATGGACTTTTTGATACCATGAGAGCTCATCTGCTTTAGACCGACAAGAATCTCGTTTTCGCAGTTCTCATCACCACATCATGTAAATACAAATCAACTATCTAGATCCTCAACAGCCCACACTTGCTTGAAGCATAGCTTTCCCGAACTTCTCAAAGCTTCCGGATCTACGTAGAACTGCAAGCCTATATTCCGGTCTTGGAGGTTGGATATACGAGCAATCATATATACCGTTGGGCGAGTAGTCGAGGACGGCATTGGTGAAGCGTACCGTTGTATCTAGGGGATCATGATCAGCATCTTGTCGCGTTTCAGCCTTGGGGTTCACCTACTCTCTCATATTGGTTACTACTCAAGTAGAACTCCTTATTGGTGTTGCTCAATGATGATTTCACCTCGATGAGATACTCCGGCCTCTGCCCACGCCACAGCTTACCATCAAGATAGCCATTATCTATCAGATGACTGGTGAAATCCCCTTTGGTGTCGTGATAGATGATATCAGCCGTTTCGGCCCCCTCCCAGTCTGGCCATTCCGAGAAGATGGGATGCTGCTTAATCCAGTTTCTCATATTGCTGTCCCATGCAGTCTGGCCACCTTCAAATCGACAGAGAAACAGATACATCTGATTTGAATTTAGTATATCCAAGGCTAAAGTCACATCACAGTACTCACAAGTAGCTCACCCGCCGCTCCTATCTTAGAATGTCGCTCAAAGTCTGTTGAGTAGGACATCCTGAACGGCTCGGGTGACTCTGGTGACTTCTCTCTTTTGCCTGGCGATGGTGCATCCGGGAGGGCCCTCAGCATATCGGTCAGATCAATCACTTTGGTTGGAAACTGGATTCGGTTCATTGCCTCCATCACATGGCCGAGAAGACGCACGAACTCATTATCTATTCTGTTTCGGGGTTGGCTTGGTGGGGGAGAGGCTGGCACGGGAATGTTTGTACGCTGTGTTGAGATCTGCGCTGATACGACTTGCGTGTAGCTGCCGCCATTTGTAGCTGACATTGTGACTGCCGAGGCTTGGTATGTGCCCGTCGAGGGACCCCTAGCTCGAGGCGAGCGCCCCGGTGAACGTCCAAGGGACTGACCTTTGTGGGCAACCATCTCACATTGTCCAACAGCGCATCTCTCGAATGACTTGCCAGTCGTGTTATTTGTGGCTACACGACAATAGAAGCCGCAATCACACACGGGATTCCCTGGCTGCACCCCCTCTGCATCATCCCAAGTACTCCAGGTCTTGTTCTGAGGACCTGTGCAGGGACAGCAATAACAGAATCGTCTCCCTCGGGGTTCTCTATTACATGGTCGGTCGCACTTATTACACCGCGGTGGTTGTAAAAGAGGAAATCGAGGCATTGTGCCGCCGTAGTGTGGAGTCATGGTTAATGTAGACATCGCTGCTCAAGTGAACACCGTCTTCCGATATGATCACGCGAATTGCTCAAGACCACAGAGAATGATACTGAATGTCAAATCAAGTGAATGTCCTGGAGTTGCGGAGATTGGGAGTCTTTGATTATTTGAATGTTGGGTTGGACAATGGCTTTGCCAAGGACGAGGCTCAGCGCTTCGATAGCACGAACATGCGCCGTCACGCGGAACTTCTGCCGCTTGACTTTACCGGAGGCCTTCACTAAAGCTATACAATACTGTTAACACGTTATCTGACAGAAGCCTCTCCCGAGAGGCCTGCCACTATCCCGCGTCCCGCCATGTGCAACTTCGATAGTTCCGCAAGCCACAGCGTTAAGGAGCTGGTGTAATTGCTCCAAGCCGGCTAGCTGAAAGCCACCAGCTTCCTAGCGCTGAAAGCTGAGGGGATTGCGGTCGCAGATCAATCAGGCCACGGACAGCCTGAAGAGACGCACGAGGGACTGGCAAGGCATGGACAATGGGGCCTACTAATTAGGCTGTCTCTGGAAAGGCCGAAGGTTCTCGAAAACCCAGAGTTATCGAGTTGCTCTAAGATCTCGGCTCTCAACAGCAGTGAGACCCCCGCAGAGGGCGGAAACTGTCACCGTTGTGCTGCTAGAAGGCGAGTGCCATCCAAAGTCACACTCTCCCACGAACAAAAACTGATGCAATGATTCATAATACCAACTCTGAATAATCCGAGAAACATCCATGTTTTTTCAAAGTAGTCATATCAGGCGAGCAGCCCAAGATTAAGTCGGGTCCGGGCCGTGTACTCGGCTGCTGTGGCGCAGCAACAATAACAGACTGGGCAAACACGCGGGGCAGATTCACAGAGACGCGACCCTGTCCAGAAACTCTTCAGTCGTGTGTTTTCTAGAATCAGAACCCCAAAAGCAACTGTCGGCTCTGACGAGATCTCACAAGATATGCCTCGATGGTAACTAGATACACAGAGCCGTGCTTGTAGACTCATTGTTAAAGATTGAGCTTGCGATTTTCATTATATCCGTGCAGAAAGTGCAATGATACCACCAAGTTTGCAAAGCTGCGTTGTGTTTCGAGAAAGTGGCCCGGGATTACGAATTCTGTGATTAGATGGGGAACCATTCGCGGATTTGATCATGTTGATACACTACTCCTAAGAGGAAGTCTTGGAAGTCTCAAGCAATTGGACGAGACGGGCTGTTTCCGCCTCCTTAGACATATTCCTACCACACAGCTCTCAATCTCTGTGACATACTCATCTACACACTCGTGTAAGTCGATCAGCTCCTTCTCCCGATCCTACGCGTCTAGTCGAACGAGTCGTTCATATGACCATTGGACGATGCGCTACGATTGATAGTGCCTGGCTGCGACTTGTCTTTATCCTTAAGCTACTTCTGAAGCTTTTTGACGTTATGGTATAGTATCTCATTCTCCTGCTATAGCAGTTGTTTAGAGGTATGACTTTGAGCTTCAGGTTAAAGCTCCCCTTAGATAGCCGTTTGACCATACTACTCTACTCCTTGAGTGGTATATCCTGCTTTTTGTCCTCCTTCTGGTGTACGGTATACGTCGCTGTCGTCGACGCAATACTAGCGTCGGACGGCTTCCTAGGCGTTATAAGGCCGTCTTCCACCCTATATTCCCATACAAGTGATTCTAGGACCTTTATGTTACTTATATGGCGGACGATGGCGGTATCGGTTGGCGAGTGTTTGGAGGCGGCTATGTGTATAATTACACGATTATCTGGTGTATCTCTTGTCGTTGCACGTCGGGATCGCGGCAAGATATCTCGGGGCTCGAAGACGGTGGCAGCACTGACATCCGCTATTATCATCCACCGGAGAGATCAAGGCTAAGTATTATCTTTTATCCTCCCGGTCGAGGGGAGGCCGTCACTGCGGGCGCGGGATGGCTCCCTTTCAGTTAATTAGATTCTCGTGTCGTCGTGCCTTCGCTGATTCGATTTGATTGAATAGTACATTGTGGTCGTTTGGTAAAAGACAGATCTACCGGAGATGATAAGTTCTTGAGAAATAACATCGGTCTTTAACCTTTCATCCTCTCTGAACAACAATTTAACCCGCTTCAACTTAATTGTGATAGCAGCATACAGGAGTAATTGCCTCATAAAGGGAGGTTCTCAGCAAAATGGTTACTAGTGGCTCCAATACGCTTCCTAACTGTGGTATAGCCTCGGCTCACAGGAAGTCGTGCTCAACATATACTACATCTGTCACGTTTGCATCAAAGGCCAAATTTTGGGACATGTTAAGATTGTGCACTGACCAACGTCTCTTCACGACCGACGGCACCTATGGATCGCCATTGATAACGAAAATGAAGCTTGCAATCTCGAAAAATCCCAGCACAAACAGATCCCATCCGAAACTCCATGTAACTAACCACCGCATTTCCCTCAAACTGTATCATTCAACGTGATAAGTAATTCCCCGTTAGTCTTGCGAGGCTTCCGGGCGCGGAAAAGAAGCGTCGTTCCAATGACCCAAGTCTCAACCTCCTCGAAGG